TGCTCTCTCGATGGCTTGATCCTGGGTCTCTGATATAGTTAATCAGAGACTGATAATCGCTAATGGAGCCTTTCATCTACAGGTCACTAGCTCCAATTCATCTCGGGTCAGCACAAGCGCAAAGCAGTTCTGGTCTGATGACTGTCGACAGGCGTGTAACGCGCTGTTGGTCTTCGTCTAGTTCCTTATGGACAGATGCTGCTGTCCCAAATTGTTATGCGTATTAAGGTAGCATCCATCTGATCCGGGTCCCATTGTGCTAGATGCTGCCTAAACAGGGTACGTCTAGACTGTGAGGATCTATCGGAAAAAGATACGCAAAATGCGGAGCCGTACTATTGTCGGAAGAGGCTTTTCCAAAATTTGGCCCGTCTAGACTAGGCCAAATTTCAGAAAACCCCCTCTTTTGAAAGCCCCCTTCTTCCTCATGGAACGAGGAACACAGGGGCTTCCGAAAGAGCGGGTTTGCTCTTCTGCCGAAAAAAGTGGACGAGCAAAAGCGTTCCCTGGATGTGGTGGAGAGGTATCCCAAACTCCCCCCTCCCCCTCCAGTCTAGCCATACCCACAGAGACTGTCTCTGCTTTTCCTCTCAGCCTTCAGCAGGCAGAGTAGGGAAGCCATGTACTGAGTGGGCCCTAGTAATGTTCTCCTGTCTGAGCCCCCGGGTGAGACCCCTGCCTGCCGGGATGGAGGCCGATTGACCGAGGACAGGCAGCGTGCAAGAAGCTGGCACTGCTTGTGTGCCATGCTTGGGAGTTTGTCCATCGGGCATCTTTTGGGAGCATTAAACTCCCTGCTGCTGTAGAACAAACCTCTTCCCCAAAGGGGAAGATGCAGCAGCCAGCACTGGAGGTACCAGCTGACACCGAAGGGCTGGGAGTTTTAGGATTATAGGGACACAGTCGCTGGATACTAATTAAAATCAGTGGTTTTTGTTAGGATAATTAGCTCTTTCCTGGCGTGGCAATGGGCTTGAAGAATCCCTTAGCTGTTCTCTCCCTCCCACTTCTGTCGCCCTGAAGTCTGTCTAAGTCTTGTCCTGAATCAGCACATGGAAGTGCAGTAAGCAAACCAGGCAGCTTCTTCTTTGTGCAGCCCGTGCTATACGGTTCATTATGTCGCACTGCTGCTTTTCCTGGTAAATAATGGAGGCACTGACAGGTTGGAAGTGGGTCCCTTTTTTCTGGGAATGGTTCCCAGTGCGGCTGAGCTGGCTTGTTGGATTGCACAAAGCCAGCCTTTCAATTTGCTTTTGGATCTGACATTTATTAATGGAGCAAAAAAATCATGTGTCTGTCGGCTAATCAGTCACTTGTGCCCATGGAAATATTGGAGCACAGAGGCTGAGCATCGAGTGGTATAAATGAAAGACAGACAGTTTGGATGCTGTTCTCGCAAACGCCTTGCAGAACAAGCAAGCCCTGGAAATGAAAAGAATCAAGGCTAGCCCTATCTGACTGGTAGGGAGAAGGAGGAAGCACTTGACATGCCCGCTATAACTTTGGGATGCTGTGGGGATGGGCACCATATTAGAAGCTAGGTAGACCTAGCACGCTTCGGAGGTAAATCGTAATCTCCCCATTTTGCAGATGAAGACATAAGAGCAGCCGTACTGGGTAAGACCGATGGTTCGTCTAGCTCTGTATCCTGTCTCCAATGCTGGATGCTACAGAGGGAATGAACAGAACAGGGCAATTTCGAGTCATTAATACTTTTTGATTATTTGCATTGTTGTTGCAGCCTTGTTGATTCCAGGAGAGTAGAGAGACAAGAATGGGGGAGGTAATATCTTTTATTGGACTGTTTCTGTTGGGGGGAGAGACAAGCTTTTGAACCACACAGAGCTCTTCTGCAAGTCCAGAAAAGCTATCCAGAACATCCCAGCTGGCATGGTCTTTGCCTTTGGCCCTCCTGTCTACGGTGGAGGGGCTCGGACTTTGGTCCCTATCCCCGGGGTCATGGAGTAATTTTTTTGTGGACAGACGGTGGTCACGGCACAATGAAGTTTGAAAAACCCTGCTCTGTAGGCTTTGTATCTGTTGTTCTGGCAGGATCTGGTGCGGCTTTGGGTTGGCCTGAGCTGGTCTGTGCGGAGCTTGCTTGTGATGATGATTGGCCGCTGTCGGCAGACAGAATACTGGGCTAGATGGACCTTTGGTCTGACCCTGTATGGCCATTCTTACGTGCTTATGATGAACTTGGAAAAGTTAATTGAATCCGTTTCTGGCTCCCTCTTTTGCTTTCCTCGCGCTGGCCTGACGCTTTCTCTCCTTCCTTTCCCATTGTCCAGTTTGTGAAGTTTGCGAACATTGAAGAGGACACCCCATCCTACCACAGGAGCTATGACTTCTTTGTGTCACGCTTCAGCGAGATGTGCCATTCCAGTCACGACGACCTGGAGATCCGGACAAAGTGAGTATGGAATAAAACACATTAGCGCCCACTTCTGTCCAGCAAACGAACGGCTGAACAAATGCACCAAACTTCCAGGGCTTTTCTAGCTGGGGATGGTCAGGAAAGTTAAACTGAATTAACTACAGGTGACTATTGTAAGGAAAAACTTAAAAAACAACAAATGGTCTGGTAACACTTTATAGAGTCTAACAAAACATGTAGCTGGTGGTATGAGCTTTTGTGGGCACAGCCCACTTCTTCAGATGACTGAAGTTTTGAGTTTAGGATGTGCAGACCCAAAATAAATAGGGGAGAAGGAAGAGGGTGAAAGGAAAAAAAGAAAGGTGGCAGGAAACAAGCAGCAGAGCATATTAAAATATCAAATGGAAAAACAAGTAGGCAGAATTGGTAACAGTCACACCTCGTTAACCCGTGTGGACGCTCTTATCCAGATTTAAGTGGCCTTAATTTGGTTTGTCTTAGTTCCCCTGGAAGTGAATTAAATGTAACTGACTTAAGGTTGCTTTACTTGTGGAGGAGAATGTCCACACAGGTTTAATTCAGTTGAACTAATCCCATTTTAAAAAATGAATTTGGATTTATTTGCTTGAATGTTCCCATGGGGACAAGTTGTCACATGATGCTTTTATTTTGGCCTCACTGTGCAATGGACAACTTCTGGAAACTGAAGCCTCTTGCGGAACGGAATCCAGTTCCTCTCCGTGCCATCCCACAGCTGGTGCCAGTCGTTTTTGACAAAACGTTTTTTTCGTCTGAAAATTCCGGTGGTGTTGGAAGCAAAATGTTCCAAGGAGCCTAGCGGGTTTGCTAGAACTGTAATCGAGAGAGGTCTCCTGGGTGTGGGGTGGAAATGAGAAAGGCAGATGCTCTGGGGTATTTCTGTGGTTAGAGCAATGGCTTCAGAACCAAGATTTGAACCCTGGTCACCCACATCCCAGCTAAATGGGTCTCCCTGTCTGGTTTTTCCCTTTTGTGCTGATGTGGAGCTGGAAAGTTGCTGAGGTCCTGAAAATATTTGCAGGTCAGGAAAACAGTTTCCCACCCAGCTCTGCTCACAGCTACCTCATACAGTTTTTTTGCCAGTGGCTGTCTAGCGTACAGCGTACACATTTATCCTCTAGCACTGGGGTGGGCAAACTTTTTTGCCTGAAGGCCATATTGGGTAGGGAAATTGTACAGAGGGCTCGGTAGGGAAGGCTGGCCAGTGTCTCCCCAAACAGCCGGGTGTGGCCTGCTCCCTGCCCCCATCCAACCCATGGGGATACCCGCTCTCTATCCAATCCCCCCTCTGCTCACTGACCGGGCCATCTGGAGCTCTGGGGCTGGTGGCCCTGCATGGGATCTGGAGCATCGGGGCTGGTGGTGCGGTCACTGCGCTGCCAGATCCTGGAGGACTGAGGCTGCGGGAGGAGGAGGAGACAGAAGGGGAAGGGCTGGGGACTAGCTGCTTATGCTCGCCACGCTGCCAGGAAGATGCTGTCCTGAACCCACTCCCCGTGGGGAGCTCAGGGCTGGGCTGATGGGTTCGACGGGCCAGATGTGGCCTGTGGGCCGTAGTTTGCCCCCCTCTACTCTAGGGCAACTGGGAGAGAGAGATCATCGACCCAGAGATAAGGACCCAGAGCCGTCCAAGGGCCTGCACCTCGTGCGTGGCTGAACACAGGACTTCAGTCTCCAGTGCTGCAGAGCTGCCTCCTTAGAGCAGCGCTAAAATCCCCTCATGTGACCATGTGCTTGATTATAATATTTAAATACAGCAAACCGAATCTCTTTAGACATGAGTGTTAATGAGCAACTCGCTTTCCTGTGCTGGGAAGAAGCTCCTCGGGGGATCCATTATGACTAACACAGATGAACGGTTATGGGGATTCTGTCTGCAGTACCTGTAGAAACACCGCGCACTTGAAATTGCCTCTTCTCCGGCCCCTGCAAAGCTTTCTGTGGCTCAGGTGATTGTGAAATTCTGGGGTCTGTAAGAGGTTCGGTCAACTCCTGCCTAGCAACTCTGAGGCTACGTCTACACTACGAGTTTTCGCGGCAAAAACCATGCTAATGAGGGACTCATTTGCATGAGTCACGATTCATTGGCATATTTTCTGCCGATCCATTTTTGCGCTAGGGGTTTTTGCAAAGGTCTTGCGGAAAAAGGAGTTTTTGCGCAAAAAAACCCCTCCACGCTGCTTGTTTTTGCACAAAAAACCCCAGTGCAAAAATGGATCAACAGAAAATATGCAAGTGAGATCGTGACTCATGCAAACGAATCCCTCATTAGCATATTTTTTTTCTGAGAAAACTCATAGTGTAGAAGTAGCCTGAGCATTTTACCTGCTTTCATTGCCTTGTTACTCTTTGCAGAGCAACTCTGGGTATGTCTACACTACAGAGCTTTTTTTTTTTTTGGAAAAATGGCGTTTTTTCTGGAAAAACTTCAAAAAGTCCACACTGCAATCCATGTTCTTTCAAAAAAAACAATCAAAAGAACAGAGGGGGTTTTCTGACATTGGTAAACTTCTTTCTACGAGGAAGAAGCCTTTTTCCAAAAGAGCTCTTTTGGAAAAGGGCGTGTGTGAAAGAGGGAGTTATTTCGCAATAAGAGGAAAGAGGAAAAAGCACAGGTGCTCTGGTGGACACTCCGCCCATAGGAATCGCAGCTTACATGCGAGAGAGCATCCAATCAGTGTGGATGCTATCGGTTGAAAAAGCAGATCGCATTTTCGATGCACTTTGGCAGTGTCATGCATCTGACGAAGTGGGTCTTTGCCCACGAAAGCTTATGCTCCTACACTTCAGTTAGTCTATAAGGTGCCACAGGACTCTTCGTCGCTTTTGCAGATTCAGACTAACACGGCTACCCCTCTGATACTTCAAAAGTATGCGAGTTTGTCCAAGCACTTGAAGAGGCCTTGCCTCATCGGGATGACACTGATGCCTCATCGGGATGACACTGATATCAGCAGGAGATGGGAACTATGGGATGCCTTCCAACCCTGAGTTTTCCTGCCACAATATCTTTCTGCAGCTCCCAGCCTCTTCCCTTAACAGTTGCAAAATCATTACTGAGATAACATCCCCTGCTGTCGCAGCCCGGAGCTCGTTTGTAGCAAAAGAGAACCTAGTTTATTAACAACCTTGATTTCAGTGATTCCACAAGGATAGAAATGGTGAGAAACACACAGAAGTGAAAATACTCTACTAGGACTGAAACTCAACGAGACTCTCTTGGCCAGAGAAGTTGTCTCCTCACAGTCCTTCTTTCCAGTCCTGAGCCAGGATCCCAACACAGAGTTCAAAGTGGGAGTAGAACCACGCCGGCCATTTCTGGGAACAAGGAGAGGGATGGGGAAAATATTTCCCCAGAGGAGAAAATTAACACTGGCAGCTTTGCGTTTTGACAGCTGTCTGGCTGAAACGGCTGAGACTAGAAAGCTAAACGTGACAAGGAACTAGCCGTAACTGAGAAGAGATGCCTTGAAGTGTTTTTGTGAAAACGGGTTGAGATTTGGCTGAGTTCTGAGTTGAATTTTCACACATTTTAATAATAAGGAATAAGAAAAAGGAGTAAAAAGGAATCAAACACTGCTCAGCACCCACATCATGCTTTTCATCTGATATGAAGCTAAGTAAGGATTATTACCCTGACCTGAGACAGTTGGGGCACAGAGGTAAAATGACGTGACCAAGGATACACAGTGGGTCAGTAGCAGAGAAGAAAGTGCCTATTGTGGGGGTCTCAAACTCCTGGCCTACAGGATAGCCCTGGTTGGAGTGATCATGCAGTCTGGCCCAGGACTGCCAGTGGGCGGGGTGGAGTTTTCAAATAATTCATTGAGAAAGGAATGCCTAGAAAATGTGAGTAAATAGCCACAGTTTGGTAACCCTTACTCACACAGTCATGATTTCCAATTGGCTAGGGCATCTTTTCCCCTTGGACTAGTTTCAGCCAGTCCCTCTCTCTGTGACCATTTGGCCTGCCCTGCAATACTAGCAAACGTTCTGTATTTTAAACAGTTCTGTCCACATTCTTCACACACCAGTTCCCTTGGCACCGCCTGCATCTCTAATGCAAGTGGATGTTTGACTTCTCCTGCAGCTCAGCTGTTTATGCTTCGCTTTTTCACACTGAGCAAAATTCTTTTCGCCCCACCAATCTCACAGCTATGTCACCTGATAAAAGTCATGGAGCTGCCTGGTCCCTACCAAGTCCTCAGCTGCTGTGGCTCAGTCTCTCTCCCGTGACTTTGCTGATTTTCTTATGACTGATGATTTAAGTCAGGTTACAGGGTGAAGATCAGCTCCGGGAGTTATAAAAATCTAAAAGTCACAGAACCCAGCAGGGTTTTTTATCCGCCTGGGATTGCTGGGAATTCAAAGCTCGTCTTTAAACAACACAGTCATTTTCCAGGGAAGAGAGTCTATGAGAGCCAAAGGAGGGCACGTTTTTCTCGGTGACGTCCCTTAAGCCATCTTGGATCTCCTCCTTGCAGTGTTGCTGCATGGAGGGAGGATGCCTGGGCACTATGTGCATAAGCATGGTTGGCACTTTCAGATCCTCCAGCCGGAGCTGTTGGCTTTGTTTTTTCAGATTCCCTAAGGGCCTAGCAGGAGGCTAGTGTGTTTGCTTTAGGGCAGAGCTGCTGTATCTGGGGAAAGACACGAGCCGTAGGCACCACAGAGGAATGGGAGGCATTTAACCAGGTCCTCAGCTGGCGTAAATTGATGTTGCTCCATTTACATCAGTGAAGCTAAGCTGAGTTCCACCAGCGGGGAGCTGGCTCTAAGTAAACCATCCACGGCAGGGAGCGCGTGGGCTGGTCTGTCTCAAAGGCCCCTCTTGTGGCTCGATTTACATAATACATCCCAGTGGTGCACCCCTTCGGATCTGGAGGAGGGTTGTCGAAGGCAGTGGTGCTCAGCCTTTTTTATGTGCCACCCCCAGGGCCGAGAGAATTTTTGTTGAGCAAAGAAAAGAAAAAGAAAAGCGCTGGGAACATTTTCTTGTGGCCTCTTTAATTTAAAGCGCCAGTCTGCTCCCCTGCCACTCCCCTTGCCCCCACTGCATATACGTCGGGCGCCAAGCTGGGAAAAGAAAATGGCAGCCGGCCCTGTGCTGCGACCCCCTTGACCCATGGGTTGCGCGCCTCTGGTCTAAGGCAGGCCCAGCTCCCATGAGTGCCCGTGACAGTCTAGGGATGTTAAATATTGAGTAATTGACTAATTGAACAGTCGATGCATTTTGCATTGACTGTTTGATTAGTCGATAGGGCGCCTCTGCCTGTGAAGTGTAGCAACAGCCTGTTGTTATACTTCAAAGGCGTCATCTGGAGACTCCCCCACTGACTCTGGGCTCCACGGGGCGCTGCCGCTTTGAAATGCCACGGAGAGCCCCGTGTCAGGCTGCACGCAGCATTTCGAAACGGCAGCACCCCGTGGAGCCTGGGATCAGCTGGTGACTCCCCCGCTGACTCTGGGCTCCATGCAGCGCTGCCACTTTGAAATGCTGCACGGAGCCATGCGTCAGGCTGCATGGGGTGTTTCAAAGCATCAGTTCTGCGTGGAGCCCAGGGTCTGTCCCCAGGCTCCATGCGGCGCTGCTGCTTGGAAGTACCCCTACTCTTCCCCCGCCCCTTGCTGCCTCTTTCTGATACAGGCAGCAAGGGGGGAGGGAAGCGACTATCCTGTTGAGTATCCGATAAGCATTTGCTTATCATGGGGGATCGTTTCGTGACTGAGCAGAGTCTGTTTGGGCTGGTTTGTTCTCTGCAGCTTGTTTCCCCCTGACTGTTCAGGGGACATTTTCTTTCCCCCTTGTTAGAAAATGGTCCAGAAAACTCCTCCTTTCTCCCTGAGCTGCGGCGCACGAACGATGCTGATTCCGTGAGGCTGGGGCTCGCATGATGCGAGCAGCTCTGCAGCCCCTGTGTGCGTAGGTGGGTGCTGGTTTACAGCCCTTCTCGGGGAGCTGGCTCGGGTCAGAGAAGGGCACCGCTCAGAGCTGAGGTGCCGTGAATCGGGTTCACAAGATGTGTTGGGTTATTTTTTTTTCTGGCTTTGGGAGACAGGGGCATAGCCTGGGGTGGGCACTTAGGATCCAGACCCATCCACCCCTAGTCCTGCCCGGACAAGGGGTTTGCCGCTGCCTGCCCGGAGCACCAGTGGACCCAGAGAATGGAGTGGGGGGCTGGCCCTGATCTTCTTGGCCAGTCCTCCAGCCCAGGAGTGGAGTACGCCCCTGACTCGGCTCCCTGCCAGAAGCAGCAGGCAGTTGGGGAGGGGCAATACCCCCTCCACTCTCCTCCCCAGCAGGAGCTCCCCGTGGGGCAGATCATGCTGCGTGGGCCCCCTGGCCTGTGTCGCTTTCCCTCCCTTCCCCATGGCCAGCTGTGGAGGGAGGGGTAGCCCCATCATTGCCTCCCTACCTGAAGTCAGGGCCCATCCACTTGTCCCATCCTGGCTACGCCACCAGTAGGAATACATGGATTGCTGCTCTGAGTAAAGGGGTGGTCTCTCCTCATCAGGGCTGAATCGTTCTGGCTCTGGGCAGAGTGGGGGATTTCCTAGCACAGAGAACGTTTCTGTAGTCAGACTGCCCCTGTTTCTCTAGGGAGGGGGTGGAATCTCCGGCCCTAGAGGTGTTTAAGTCTCGGCTTGACAAAGCCCTGGCTGGGATGATGGAGTTGGGTGGGTCCTGCGTTGGGCAGGGGGCTGGACGCGGTGACCTCGTGAGGTCTCTTCCAGCCCTGGGATTCTATGACCCTTGGACTTTCAGAACCAGAAGAACAGCACCCAAGCTAAAGGAGCGTCTCTCTTAGCTGGTCTGATGCGACAGACTCCTCTGGCTGGAGCTGGCAGCTAGAGAGAGATGTATTGTACGGGACTGAAATTGCCAGCTGGTAGAAAATGGCATAACACATGCAAAATCAATGGAGCCAAGCTGGCTTATTGCTTGTGGGGGCTGCTAGGGCACCCAGAGAAATAATACCACCTGCTTATTTGCTTTTAAACCAAAAGGGGTAATAGGCTACATTAAATCCCTAGATCCAACCCCCACTTTGCCTGCCAGGAAAATTTAGATCTTATCCAGTTCTAGATCCTATCTCCACTTCTAGGCAGCCCGGCCACCCTGCTACGTGAAAAATAATGTCATGAGTTCAGCTCTTGGCCCAGCGATGTAGAGCCCTGGTTGGCTGAGTGTTGCTGGTGTGTTGTCCTTCTCCCCTAAGGCTCGCAGAGCACGTCACAAACTTCAGTGTCATCCCAACAACAGTCCTGGGAAAGTAAGAAGCACTGATGTCTCCAGTTGAGAGATGGGGAAACCGAGGCACAGGGCAACAGACTGACATGCCATAGATCACTCTGTGACTCAGCTGGAAGGGGAAGCCTGGGCCTGAACCCCCTGTTCTAACTAGAGCAACAGAATCTTTTCACTGGGATTTTCCAGTTGGTCCAACTTGAAATGTTTGGTTGAGAAGCTCAGTGGCGATCCGGCTGGGTTTCCTGCCAGCTCGTCCCCCGGCTCTTCAACAGCCCGTGTGACAGGCTGACAGGAGCAGAGAGCCTAAAAACGACGTGGCCCGCTGGATTTCCAGGGGCTGCAGCTCTGGGACAACCCACCAGCCAGATTGCCCTGGAGCTGCGGCTCTGCCCCCTTGCACGGAGAACATCGGGGGTGTTGCTGTCAGCTGGAACAAACCCAGATTTTGACTATTGGAATGCTCTGTGAAAGGGGGCGACCTCCCTTCAGACAGCTTGAGATCTAACCAATAGGCCGAGCTCTCAGAGCTGAGAAAAGAATCCCAGAGTCCCGACACCCTATCTCAATGGCTACATCACATTCCTCCCGCAGAGACAGGGAAAAGAGTGGCCGACCCATTGCTCTCCTTTCCGGATGGCCGTCTCTCCCATATTGTGCCCAATGTCACACCTGAAGCCTGGGTAATCCCCAGCCAGTGGGCGTTACGAGGGTGGGAGATTCTAATGAATGGGTAGCACTGTCTCATCTGGGTGTTCTTTGGGTTTGCTTTCTTTTCATCCTTTCCTTAAGGATCCGGACGTCCGGCATCAAAGGCCTGCAGGGGGTGGTGAGGAAGACGGTTAACGATGAACTCCAAGCTAACATCTGGGACCCGCAGCATATGGACAAAATCGTGCCTTCGCTGCTCTTCAACCTGCAGCATGCCGAGGAGGCTGAAAGGTGGGAATTTGCTTCTCCCTTCCTGGGAGGGGCTACAGAGCTGCCGATAATATTTCTGGTGCTGCTTCAAATTCCCCAGTGCTAGAGTCCGCATCGCACCAAAGGGTTGTCCTGTTCTCCAAGCAGCAAGGAAGGATTTGAATTCCTTGAGGACCCTCTTTCTTTGCTGGCTGAGAAATGAGTGGACCCCGCTTTGGGAGGTTGTCCATTTCATCGCAGTGTAGGCATTGGTATAAATCGGTGTAGGCCCAATGACATCAATGGAGCTGTGTGGATTTGCAAAGGTGAAAACCTGGCCCTTGTTTCCTGCTATTGACACAGACAGACACATGCACGCACACATACACACACACTAGCTAATGCAGCAAACCCATCCTCCTTTAAATTGCAACCTACTCCCCCCCTCAATCAGGTTTTCTTCATACATCATAAAAGGGGGAGGGGACCCAACCCCATCAGAGATTTTATTTCCATTGCTGGTGACCTTTAAGTAGAGCTGGGTGAAGTTTTTTTTGACAAATGGTAAAATCAATGAAACATCCATTTTCTAGGGCGCCAAAACTCTTTGCAAATTCAGGTCAAATCTGGTGGAGGAAAAAAGAAAAATCTGTATTGTGAGGCAATATTTTCTTGACCATTTGGACACTAAATATTTTGATTTTTCATTTTGAAACAGGGATGTTGTTTTGAAAAGCAGCTAGATTTATTTGATGGGGAAAAAAACCACCTTAAAAAGGGTTCACCGTCCCCTTATCCCCTCCCCCAAACAAAACAAAAAAGAGGAAAAAAGCCACTTTTGGTTGAACACTGAAAAATTTCTGTTGGAACCAAACCAATTTTTTTCCCGAACCAGTGAATTGCTCCGTGCCTTTCTCAAGTTCTGCAGCTAAGAACCATAAGCTACAGTTCCCTGCTCTCTTCCTTCCAGCTGACTGCCAGCTCTCCAGTTTGTTTCTAATCTCTCAAGTGCACAATAATATGCAATGGATATTACAGTTTGTGGCCTTTGTACAGCGACTGTGGGATTTGTGTGGTGTTTACTCTCTGCAGGACTGCAATTGGGAAAGTTCCTCGTTACTATGTTAGTGCTAGGAGGCCCGGTTATGCTAGTGGCTGTGCAGATACCTGGAAAGAAGCCATCTCTTCCCTGAGCAGCTTGCAGTCGAAAGACAAGACAAAGGCAGGGTTGCTATCACCCTTTGCAGATGGGGAACGAAGCATGGAGAGATGAAGGGAAAGAATGCTTGAGGTGGAGTCAAGACACGAACCCATCTCTTGAATCCTAATCCAGGGCCTTAACCATCAGCCTTTTCAGCATTTGCCTATCAACTCAGCTTCCTTTGCAGAGCAGTCAAGGCAATGGTGCAGATCTGTGCATTTGCCAGTTAAGATTTTCAGCTGGTTCTCCTCTCCAGCTGTAACTTTAGAGAGGAGTATTTGCCCCATGCGCCACCTGACAGGAGATTAAGTAAAAACTCTTTGGCTGTGTCTAGACTGGCCAGTTTTTCTGGAAAATCAGCCGCTTTTCCGGAAAAACTTGCCAGCTGTCTACACTGGCCGCTTGAATTTCTGCAAAAGCACTGACTTCCTACTGTAAGAAATTTTTATCTGCTTTTTGCGGAAATACTATGCTGCTCCCGCCAAACCTCTCGATGACCGTGTCAGCATCGGCAAGGTGGATGACTCTGCGGAGCAGCCTTGACCACACGCAGAAGGACACACAAAAACGGGAGTCACTGAGGTGCCAGGCTGGATGAGAGTGCTCCTTCCCCTTCAAAAGCGAAAATGGCGATCGGGGCTTTTTTTGCGCAAAACCGCGTCTAGATTGGCCACGGACGCTTTTCCGAAAAAAGTGCTTTTGCAGAAAAGCATCCGTGCCAATCTAGACGCTCTTTTCCGAAAATGCTTTTAACGGAAAACTTTTCCGTTAAAAGCATTTCCGGAAAATCATGCCAGTCTAGACGTAGCCTTTCTCTCCCTTCCCCAGCATATACCTCGGATGTGTCCACCCAGCCAGCTGGGTTTTTGCAAGCAGACAGGCATTGTTAAGGAAAAGCACTCGGGGGATAGATACCTTTGCCTTCAGATGCCCTTACAGGCCGGTGAGAAGCAGAAGGATGCCTGAGTTCTGCCTGGTGTCTTGTTTTATGTTTCGGAAAGATGCCTTGGAAATCAAGTGCTCAGGCTTAACATCCATTTGTGGTGGTTGCATAAGCAAACAGCCCAAGCAGAAGGCCAGAAATTGCTGCACCCGACGCCAGTGTGTATCTGGAGTAACTCTCAAGAAGGCACAGAATGACTCTGGATTTGCACTGTGTGGAGTGAGTGCAGATTCTGGCCCTGGGGGTCTGACAGGTGTGGGAAGGAGGGGTGAATTGCACCCAGCGTCCCTGCACCTAGGGGCTGGATTTGTTGCTGACACACTGCTGGCTCCACCCGTCCTGGATCCTGGCCTCTGGGTGGCTCCTCCAGGGTCCTGCCATCCCTGGGGACCAGGCCACCCAGCTCTGCAGGCTCCCGTTGCCACTCGGGGTCCTGCCGCCGGCTCAGTCCTCAGGTGAGGGAGGCCAGCAGGTTTAGGGGGGAGGCGCAGCTCAGCACCCCACCCTAAACATGGTTCCAGAGCCACGGGGGGTTGATTTTCGAAGGAGCGCACCAAGCCCCCATGTTTCCTGTGGGGTTTAAAACACGGCCGTGTGCTGGCTCTGCGTGTGTATTGCTCTCCTCTAATGGCTGGCACCCAGAAAGAATAAAGGCACTTTTCTGGGTATGGCTAGTGTGCGCACGGGGCATGGGATCCGATTCGGGTTGGAGTCCGCACCCCCCTTCTGCCCACCCGTGTGACTCAGCTCAGTGAGCACAGAGAACCTGGCGCTACGGCCTTGCTAGCAGGGCGGGTGAGCGCCTGACTCCCACTGTGAGAGACGCAAGCCCTCTCCTTGTGCAGTGTGGACACAGCTCAAGCGCCACCCCCGAGTCGGATGCTTGGTGCAGTGCAGTACAGATGCAGAGGCAGGGCTGGGATCCAGCAGCTGTAAGCCCGGATTTGGTGCCATGTGGACGCTTGGAAGCAGGAGTTCCCCCACCCTGGGCTGAGGGTGCTGTGTAGACGTACCCCTCGTGTTCCCAGCAGAGGGATCTAGCTGGTGGTTGGCGCCTGTGTATCTGGGTGGGGGTTCTAGCGCGTGTTTAGTGTTGTAGTCACTAATTCTGGTCTCCAGCACAGGGACGGTCTCCTGCCGATACACGCTGGAGTCCAAAGGTCCATCTACTGCCCTGGGGGCCGGGCGTTAGAAGCACATGGCTCACTGGTAGCAGCTGGCCGTGCGCTTTGCTGCCTCCTCGTCCCTGAGTCACTGTCAGCTGCCTACGCAGGGGTCTGTGTGGCCCTGTCACCATGGCACCCATGCGCCAGACACGGTTTTCAAACAGCATGACTGTTTCAATTCCCTCCCCTGCCGGCCCACCCCAGGGTGGTGGCTGCTACTGGAGACAAACCAAGGCAGCTCGGGCTGTGTTTTCCGATTGTTGTCAAGGCACTGGGGTCGCTCTGCATTCTGATTGGTGCTCTGTGGTCACGGGCCAACAGCTGGCCCTCCCGTCCGTCCCCCAGTAGCTGCTGCGGACGGTGGCTTAGGAGACGGTTTCTCAGGCAATCGGGGTCAGCCACCATCACAGCCAAAGTCTTGAGTTTGACTCTGTGCTTCCCTGGCAGAGTGTGGGGGTGGGAGCACGAGGGTTCCTAGTGGTTTTGAGTTGGGTTCTGGACCCGCTGGGGCGGCCTTGAGGCTGGGGGGTTCATGTGGAGGTATCATCAACGTTAGTGAGCTAGCCTGGAGGCCAGGAAAGGTGGGTAAAGGTCTGTGTGGCCGCTGTGTCTGGAGTATCTCACAGTCTTTCTTGTATTTATCCTGTGGTCCCCATGTGACAGAGGCTAAGGGTACGCCACTGGGCAAAAGTCGAATTAAGCTACGCAACTTTAGCTACGTCAATTGCGTAGCTGAAGTCGAAATAGCTTAATTTGGCTTTTGGAGCAATCTACACAGCAGGAGGTCGAAGGAAGAACACTCTTCCTTCACTTTCCCTTACTCGTGAAACAAGGGTTGCAGGAGTCAGAGTAAGAAGTCCTCCAGCTCAACATTATTTTGAAATAACGGCTTGCGGTGTAGACATGCTTTTTGTTATTTCGGAATAATGTCCATTATTCCAAAATAATGCTGCCGTGTAGACAGAGCCTTCATGATTTACCGTGTCATGCAAGGAGTCAGCCACCAAGCAGAGAACGGGCCCCAGGTCCTAACGCTTAGTCGAGCGCTAACCACTGTGCCATCCTGTCTCCCAGAGTCGTATGGCCAGGTCAGAGTTAGCTGGGTCAGAGTGCAGCGCTCTGGCCAGGTGTTTGTAGCAGCAGCCACTGCTGTTTGAGTTCCTCAGGAACTTGGATCTTAGATTCCAGTAATCCCACTTTGGTTTGGTGGCTGAGTGTATCAAGCGTAAAGCACATTGTTGTGGTGGGGAAGGGTGGAGTTGGAGCGCCCCCTACTGGCCCATTGAGGACCAGCTTAATAATGAGAATAAGCAATGCACCTCTTAAATTTTGAACTCTTGGAGCCCTGATTTGTCAGAAAAGAGTGATTTCCTGCTGGCTACCTCTGGGCAGGTCTCCATTCTGTGGTACATCCAAGCTGGTAAACATTAGACAGTGACCTAGGGGGAAAGGTGTGGGTGGGTGGGGTCGGATTGTTGGCATCCTTTCTGTGTACAGATCAGCTGTCATATTAGAGGGGTCCAGACCGTTTAACGGGATCCCTTTGCTGAGTACTGAAATGCAGCTTCTCTGAGTTCCACACTGTCTTGTGGCATATCTGGGGACTATGTCGGCATTTCATTCCACTCTCTTGAGAGGAATACAAATGCAGACACCCAAAATTGCAAATGAAGCAGGGATTTAAATATCCCGTGCTTCATTTGCATAATTGCGTTATGGCGCTATTTCGAAATAGCTCTATTTTGAGAGAAAAATGGGGTTATTTTCGAGGGAAGGGTTTTATCTCGAAATAACCCCGTTTTTTCTCTCAACATAGCACTATTTCAAAATAGTGCCATAACGTGATTATGCAAATGAAGCGTGGGATATTTAAATCCCCGCTTCATTTGCAATTTCGGGTGTCTGCAGTTGCATTCCTCTCTCTCTCTCTCTCTCTTGGAATGAAATGTAGACATACCCCAGGAGAGGACGTGAAGAGCCACTAATGGAGCTGGGATTTAGACAGGCCGAATTACTCCCATTGTAGGCACAGATTCCAGTCCCACAATGCGGCTGTTACATTCTGGATGCTGGCCTCCTTCCCCGTGGAGGAGTGGAAGCACTGGCAGTATGGCCATGAAAAGAAAAGGAGAGCATTGCATTGTGTGATGGGGCACGATGGTGTGAAAATCTTTCTCCTTGATAGCTGCTGCACTGAGTTGTTATGTAGATGAGGCTTAATCTCTCTCTCTCTGTCTCTCTCTCTCAGCCGCTCTCCATCGCCCCTGCAAGCAACAGAAAAAGAGAAAGAGAGTCCCACTGAACTGGCAGAAAGGTGCCTGCGGGAGTTACTGGGGAGAGCAGCTTATGGTAACATTAAGAACGCCGTCAAGCCTGTTCTCATGTAAGTTACTGGATCGGCTGGTTATCCCTCCACCCTGCCTACAGCTGTCCAGTGCTGGGCACTCTGGCTAGCTGTGTTCTCTCTTCCCCTTTTGCTCCCCTCCTTGGGAGCTTTTGCATTACTGATACTGAGCAACAGTAATGTTGCTGTGACTTAGTGAGGCTTGGTCTATGCTACAGTTAAGTCAACGTAAGGCTGCTTATATCGACCTAACTATATCAGAGTACGTGCTGCCGACTTGTTCCTGCCGACGTAGGTGTCTTACTACACTGAAATAATAATTCCACTTCCACAACAGGCATAGGGTTTAGATCGTGCGGTCAGGGCGACACGCAGCCCCTACAGACACTGCGCTTCTTAAATCGGCTGTTGGCTGTCTTGTCAGTTTCGTGACTCTGGTGGAGCTGTGAAATTGACAAGAAAACGGACTCCTGGCACCCTGGGGTCCCAGGTCCCCACTCCCCACTGAGAGTACAACCTCTGGCCAGACTCTGACAGCTGCCTTTGACAGCTGCCCTGCAGCTCCTGGTTGGGAGGCGGGGAGGCAAGAAACCCAAGGAGCAGCTGAGCTTCTGGCAGGGAGCTGATTGAGCTGGGAGCACTGGCTTTCAGCCTCCCAGACTGCCCCTCGTCAGTCGGCAGAAGCGCTGCTGGTGAGGACATGTGCCACTGACAGAAGGAGGGTAGTGCGGACGTCAGTCACTGCAGTAATTACTGCGCTGCCTGTAAGTCAGCTTTACATAGGTCAGGTTTAGACTGCAGCGTAGACCTGCCCTTAGTGTCTCTTTGTATGTAATGGAATCATGTGAACGACCACGCTGGGTCAGATCAACGGTCCATCTCGCCCAGCGTCCTTGGCTTCCGGCAGTGGTCAATGCCAGGAGCCCCAGAGGGAGTGAGCAGAACAGGATCAGATCTGCTCAGCTGTGTGTCATAAACCTTAGCCTGCTCATGGGGAGTGGAGATTCTCCTTCCGCTCAAGTAGCAGTGGGGGTCAGGACAAGCTGAATTCCATCTCTGCCACTGGTGTGAAGTGGCTGCAGAATGACCGCTCTGATGTCCTGCAGGAGGTGGGTTTGTTCCAGTTCCTAGGGCGTTGCCTTTTTCCCAGCGCTGTATACAAGTTGGGTCATCTCTTCCCGACAGCTACTTCCTCTGGTGGGCAGGTACGACCACTCGTCCGAGTTTATTGGGGAGGGAAACCGAGGCTCAGAAAAGCAAAACGATCTGCCCATGGTGTCATGGCTCCTTCCCCACACTGGCATGATAAATGCAGAAGTGGGGCCCAGCAACTGTACCCCAAAGCCTTATCTACTAGGCTTTGGTATAAAACTTCCCTCAAAATCTTAAAAACCTAGATTTTGGGAATAAAACTTCCGCTGCCACCACCCAAATATTAATAACGAGATTAGGAGAAAGATCATTTGGGAAATCTCACCCCTATTATAAAAATCAGGACACACAGTAACCAATCCCAGGTTAATAAAAAGAAAGGAGAAAACTTGTATTATTACAACAATATTCCTGTTGCAAGCATAAGGATCAGATGGAAAGGTAACAAAATATACTCATGGAGGAATTACACCATGGGCTAGAACTTAGTTAAAAAGAAAAGCCAACCATCTCTTAAGCAGCACCAGATATCAGATCCCATACCCAAACCTTAAAACAATAAAACCTAACGAAACTACCTAAACTTTACCCTACTTACAGAAAGTGAAGAATGGTTTCTTGGAGAGAGAGAGAGAGACATGCTTGTCCCTCCCTGTAGCTGCAGAGGACTCACCCAGAGAGACCAAAGGAGAAAGGAAAAAACCCAAATTCCTTTGTCCCAGTTTGAAAGTCCCACCTACATTCCTACTGGTCACTCCGCCTGGCTAGGTGTAGTTAACTCCTTAATCCCCAGGCTGCTGGCTAACCCTCATAATCATGACACGGTTACAGAGGGAATGAATGACAGAGCTGGGATGAAGACCCAGGAGTTCCTGGTCCCAGGAACACCATGAAGTGAATACAAGCTGTTGACTAACCCCTGAAATTGAACAGCTCCAGAGCCTGGGAGAGAATTAGGGAAAATGGCAGCCAAATGAGTTCTTTATGGGCTTGATCCTTAGCTGTCAGACTGCAATTCCACGTCGGCTCCCCCTTGCGGTCTTTGTCTTTCGCTTGCTGGCGCTCCTTTCTGTGTCTGCTTCTGTGTCACCTGCCTCCCACACTGTTTGTTTGCTGTTCTCTCTGAGCAAAGGGAAAAGACATCTTTGCTGGCCGTACAGCAAAGCCTCTGCAGTTGCTAAACTCACTCTTCTCTTTCGTCTCTCCCTGAAGCCATCTAGACAACCACTCGCTCTGGGAGCCAAAGACATTTGCTATTCGCTGCTTTAAGATCATCATGTACTCCATTCAGGTGGGCATTCGGTGTCATTTCAGTACTGTAATGAATTGTGTGTGTGTGTGTGTGTGGTGAAGCTAGAAGGACCTGTGACAGCCTGAGTAATTATTGCAAATTTGTTGTACTCTCTGTGAAACTGTGTGGGTCATTCCCTGTATGTATAAGCACAGAGATTTGCTAGCTGAGGGTTCTTTGAAAACTAACTCAACCTATACATACTGATGCCTTGTCCTTTCATAGCCCCTTGAAAAGATGGGGAGGCTAGTTACTGCCGCACTATGGATGGGGAAACCAAGGCACAGAGGGTAAGTGACTTGCCCAAGCCAATGTCCATACAGTGCAGATTAGAAACCAGAAATCCTGGTTCCCAGACCTGTGCTCTAACCACTAGATCATACTACTGCCATGATGTACCTGTGGCACTGGTGACTGATCCTAAATTTGTTATTCGGTCAGTGGGAGTTTGCCTGAGCCAGGACCGCAGGATCGGGGAGTACAATGAACCCTTGTCCTGTTGTTTTTCCCTTCTCCCTCCTTTATTCATTAGATTCGCTCAGAGCCCGGTGCAGTAAAAAGTAATAGCTCCATGCTCGGCTGTGTGTTGGGAGCCTGCCCTGCACACTGGAGATGAGCTAAAAAGGGCTATGGGGCTGTGTGATGGGGTGGAACTAAGCCCCGACGCCCCCTACAGGAGGCTGGAGGCCTTTCCACACCCCATCCCAGTGAGAGGAGCAGAAGAGAGGTCCTCCAGGCAGGATAGAGTGGCCCTCTCTGCAGCAGCCAATCAGGGCCCAGCAGAGCAGTATAAAAGAAGCTGCTAGACTAAGGCCTGGCAGTTCCTCACAGGAGCTTGACCCAGGCAGTTCTAGGTACTGACTGGGAAAACAGCAGCACTATGGACAGCTCCAAGTATAAGCTGAACTTTAGACCTGGGTGAGGCCCAGGTCCAGTGGCCGAAGACTGGCCACAAGCTGAATATAAGAACTGATAGCACCGTGGGCATGGCTAGTAAGATCCTAGCCTCAGAACCTTGTGACCACCAGACAAGGCAGCATCCGGAGGAGGTGACCCGGGGATCAAGGAGGTACCAGATGGCCAAGCAAAGAGCTTACCCGACACCCCTCGGCCACAGAGGGGCACTCACAAACGGGCGGACCCCGTTACAGGCGGCTGGAGTGCCCAGGAATAATTCAGGCTGGCACTTTTGAGGTGCTCATGTAGGAGTGATCACATGGCTGCCCGCAGTGCAGTGTGCTCCCAGCTGAGCCTGTTTGGGCAATGGGACCATGGCCCTGTCCACTTCAGGGAGCCGGTGCATGTGAAGTTGTTAGCAGGGGCTAAGCCTCCGATTGGGAGTCTCACCAATCCCTTGGAGTCAACTTCTAGAGTCCTTCCTTGTGCATGCACTGGGGAGTGGCGGAATAGGGCCCTGAGATCCTCTTGTCTTGGACACCCAGGGCTCTGCAGCTATAACCAGAAGTTAAGCTAGGGACTCCGATCCACAATTTCTGGATTAGGGGAGGGGTTACCTAGGCAGAGGTCAGTTACTCGACTTAGAATTTGGGCAGGACCCCAGGGCTAACTTCCCCCTTCTGTGAGCCAATAATATGTTGCTCTAGAGGACTGTGTGTGCACATGGGGGAACCAGAATACAGTTGGACCCTCTCCCTTGGGAGCCATTCTCTGTCAGTGTAAAGCAATGTCCCATTGCATTAGGTGGTACGGCAGCGTGGTGTAAAACTTTGCCAAGGGAGCCATTGGGAACGACATGTTTCCAGCTTGCTGCCTTCGCATTAGTGCCTGTCACAGCAGAAGGAGAAAGGTGCACAAACTGTGCAGACAGGGGAAAACGATACAGATCAAATTCTGCTCCCCGTCACTCCCACAGAGCCACAGCGGCTTAGCAAGAGATTGCCTGGGGGGTAAGAGAGAGGAGAATTTGACCCTGTGTAGGATATTGGAAAGATACTGGAACAAATTATGGAAGAGTGTTTGTCAGCAGCTGGAGGGGAATAGGGCTAGCAGCTATAGCCAGTGTGATCAGGAACAGATCATTGCAAAGCCAAATTTCCTGGTCACCGGCCTAGTGGATAGGGGAAGCTGTAGATGTGATATACCTTGATTTCAGAGAGTAGTTTTCACTGGTTTGCTATCCTACATCCTCCCAGAGGAGTCTCACAGGGTTCAGTCCTGGTGCCCGTACTAATCAATATTTTCCTTAATGACTTGGATAATGGAATAGAGAGTATTCAGATGACACCACGCTGGGAGGGGTTGCAAGCGCTTTGACAGACGGATTAGAATTCAAAACAACTTGGATAAACCGGAGAACTGGTCTGAAATCAAAAGATGAAATGCAGAGAAGACAAATGCAACGTACTTCACTTAGGAAGGAAATATCAACAGCACAGCTACAAAACGGCGACTCACCGGATAGGAGGTGGTGCTGCTAAGAAAGATCTGGGACTTAAAGGGTTACAAGCTGAATCGGAGTCAGCAATGTGGTGCAGATGCAGAAAAGGCTAATGGCACTCCGGGGTGTAGGAACAGGAGTGTTGGATGTGAGACACGAGAGGCTGTTGTCCCACTCTGCTCGGCACGGCTGAGCATTGGAGTAGGAGCACTGAGCCCCGTGCTGGGTGCCACCTGTTAGGAAAGATGTGGACAAATTAGAGAGCGTTCAGAAGAGATCAACAAAAGGACCTACGAGAAAAGGTTAAAAACCCTGGGCATGTTTAGTCTGGAGAAAGGAAGCCGATACGGGGCGGGGGGCAGATATGCGAAGGGCTGTTATAAGGCGGGTGGTGATCAGTTGTTCTCTATCCCACAGACGGCTTTATTTGCAGCAAGGGAGCTTTAGGGGGAAGCTTTCTGACAATGCGGGGATGAAGGTCTGGCGCAGGCTTCCAAAGAAGGCTGTGGAATCCCCATCGCTGGAGGTTTCTAAGAACAGATTTGCCAAACACCCGTCAGGGCTGATCTGGGTTTTCTTTGTCTTGCCACAGTGCAGGGGGCTGGGCTTGGCGACTTCTCGAGCTCTCTTCCCGCCCGGCACTGCTATGGTTCTAGAAGCCAGCCCCGGGTAAAGTGAGGCTGTGGGGTTGAGGAAGGCCCCAGGTGAAGGTTTTGTTAGAAAACAGTGTTGTAGGTGATCAGAGATGTTCCCATCATCTCTGTGCTTGAATCCCAGTGAAAACAGATTTGTGTCTGGACTGTTATGTCCCTTCCTTCCTTCTCATGTAGCCAATGTTCTTTTCACCTAGCACGTTGGTTATTTATCTTCTTTCCCCCTTGCACGGCTGGGCTAAGGGCGAGGAAGGATGGCTTGGCAGTTAGGGCTCTGGGTGTGGTGACCAGGCTTCAGTTGCTAGCTCAGCGACTGGTTTCCTGTGGAATTTTGGCCACATCACGTAGCAGCCCTGTGCCTCAGTTTCCCATTTGTGCCCTGCCTCACGGTGCAGTGGTCAGGATAAATCCCTTAGATCAGTGGTTCCCGGCCTTTTTTATACAACAGACCAGCAAACCCATTCACAAACTCTTGGTGGACCAGTAACATTTTATTTGCATCATTATGGTAATTAATGGAAAGCGGTCCCGTGTTATTTTACATTGCATCTGTACACACACAATATATTTTGTTGTAATGGATCAGAGTTTGCAGATAGCTACAACATTGTGTTAAAAGAATCTTTCCTTTCGTATCTTGAGCCATTAACACCTATGTCAATTTTGATTGAAATGTGATCATGCAAATGTCATGAGCTAGGCCTTTTGTTCTGCCCTTAGCCCAGAGGGAAACAAGTTAGACACCCCAAACTCCCCTCTTTCTCCACCTCACTGCACTAGTCCCCACCCCTGGAGAGAGGGAGACGCACACAGCTGGGCCCCCCAGCCCGCACGCCCCACATGTGAACTGGGCAGAGCGGCTCCTGCTTACCTGGCACCCTGGGGAAGGCATGAGCAGCTGCAGCATGAGAAGCCAGGATGCTCCCATCCGCCTCCAGGACCAGGGGACCCACATGGGACAAATGGGAAGGTCTCACATCTTTGCAGGGGGCCTCTATCAGCAGCCAGGGCTCCCTGGAGGTCTCTCTGTGGCTCCTCTGGCAACAGTTGGGTCCGTCCTGCCCTGGTTGCACCACTGCTCCATGCCAGGGGAGAGGAGCTGGACTAGACACTTGGCTGCAGGGGCAGAGCAGCCTCCAGCTTGCTCCCCCGGCAGCTCTTGCCTGTCAAGGCATGGGCGTGGCCTGGCAGCTGGGAAGCACTGCATTCGATACTACAGCGATGGGGGCAGAAAGGTACCTGCGGTGTCTGTGTCACTTTTGTTTCGAGTTCGTTTTGATTCACGTCTCTCTCCCGCCAGCTTAGCCCTGCTGTCTCTGGGGAGTGCTTGTCTTCATTGCATTTTTTTATCTTGTAAACAGCACAATGCCCATTGTCTTTAGATTTTATACAATCCATTTTGTACAGCATCTAAATGCCGGGTGCAAGTCACTCGCCAGGGCCCGTTTGAAGGATACGCAATCAGTACGTTCTCCCTTCATAAGTGCTCATGTTTAATCATTTAGTGGACCAACTCCAGTTGGGGGGAAGAGAAACTTTCAAGCCACACGGCGCTTTCCTTCCTGTCTGAGAGAGGTTCTCAGGGCGTCAGCTAAATCCAAGATGACACAGGGGCTGTGTCTACATTGGCACCCTTTTCCGGAAAAGGGATGCTAATGAGACACTTCGGAATTGCAAATGCCCCGGGGATTTAAATCTTCCCCGCGGCATTTGCATGAACATGGCTGCCGCTTTTTTCCGGCTCGGGGCTTTGCCGGAGAAAAGCACCAGTCTAGACGGGGATCTTGCGGAAAATAAACCCTTTTCCGGAAGATCCCTTATTCCAACTGAAAATCAGGAATAAGGGATCTTCCGGAAAAGGGTTTATTTTCCGCAAGATCCCCGTCTAGACTGGTGCTTTTCTCCGGCAAAGCCCCGAGCCGGAAAAAAGCGGCAGCCATGTTCATGCAAATGCCGCGGGGAAGATTTAAATCCCCGGGGCATTTGCAATTCCGAAGGGTCTCATTAGCATCCCTTTTCCGGAAAAGGGTGCCAATGTAGACACAGCCAGGTAGTTTAGCAGGAGGAGTAAGCACATATTGCAAGGGACCTTGCATTTAGCTGTACCACTGGAGGACCTCTGCCGGACCTGGACAGGAGCTCCGTGTTGGTCGAAAGTAGGGATGTCAATACTCCTTATAAAAGTTAACCAGTGAACTATGGAGGGCTGGGATCCCGCAGTTGGGGCTCTGCCAGCCAGCCCACCATGGGCAGGGGTCTCCTCCATGCTGGCCTTCTGTGGGTGGGGCTGTTTCAACCCAGCTGGGCCCGCAGGGCTGGGGGCTGCTCTGGTTGGTTGGCCCCCCCCGTGCACCACAGCTGGGGGCTGCTCAGGCTGGCCTGCTGCACCATAGGTGGGGGCTGCTCTGGTTGGCTGGACACACCGTGCCACAGCCTGGAGGCTGCCCTGTCCGGGCCCACTGCACTTTGGGGAAAAGGGGGGTTGCTCCGGCCAGGCCTGTCGCAGTTGTGGTCCTGCTGGCTGGGCCACTGTGGGTGAAGGGCTGCTCTGGCCGGGCCTGGTTCTCTGGTTAACCGGTTACTGGGTAAGCATGCTGGTAAGGCTAATGCTTACTGGGAGACTGGTTAACCAGTTCAACTTCTACAACCCTGCTCGAAAGTCTCTCTCCCTTTTTCCCTCCCTCTCTCTTGCTGTCTGTCTCTCATCAGTGCAAATTGGTGAGAGAGAAGCTTTCAAGCCGCACAGAGTTTCCCTTCCCGTCTGGGATTCTCTGAGCATCAGCTAAATCCAAGGTCAAGTGGATAGTGTAGCAGGAGGAGTAAGCACCTTTCTATTGGGTATCTAGAACAGCACCTGAACAGACCTGCTAAGGCACCAAGTTTGTGCCTGGGTCAGTGACGGGTGGTTCCTCACACCGTCTGTTCCCCTGCGCCTCTGCCCAGATGCGGTCTGTGTGAGCGTGTCTCGCTGTGCTACCAGCCTCCTTCCTGGCGTAAAGGAGCATCTCCGTTAGCTGGAGCAGCAGAGGCTTTTTGTGCTGAAGGTCCCTGGTTCTGTCCCCCGTCAGCGGCCTGTCATGCCTGCCTGCCTGTGGCATGCAGGGAACGATTGGCCCAGGTGGGTGGGTGTAGTCAGGAGTGACGTGTTAAATTGATCACTCACAGGTGTTAAATTGAGCTCAGTGAGTCCCTGGTGGCAATGACTTTATCTGGGCTGTAGGTGGGCGCAGAATTTGGCCTGCTGTGGAATTTTCCGCAGACAGATGTCAATAGTTCCGTGCTGTGGGTGTGCTTTTTGAATGGCCTCTACTGTGTGGCCAGGAACGGGTCAGTGAAGAAGGGATCCTTCTCCCTGGTGGGGAGGGTTTGGGGGGCTGGCTGTGAGGCCTGGAATTGAGGATGATTTACCAGGGACCTGGAGGCTTGGGGCGGTCTGCTGTGGGAAAGCAGGCTGGATTCTGCCCTCATGTGAGTCTTGCACTGATGTCAGAGGCAGGAGTTTCCCCCTTGGAGTTGGCAGGCCTGGCTTTTGCGGATGGGGGCCCGGCCCTGTGCTCCGTGTGAAACCCCCGTGACTCCGGCAGGAGCTGTAAACGCACACCCAGCTTTGGGCCTTGCTCCGGGGGCCAGTTCATCTGACCCCAGAGAGCGCCCCCGGTCGGCGAGCTGGGAAACGAGCCGCCGGGCGGTGAAGCAGCTGAGATCTGCCTGGCTCACCAGCCATCTGTCTCCCTGCTTTCCTTCTAGCCGCAGCATTCCCACCTCGTGATCCAGCAGCTCCTGGGACACCTGGATGCCAACAGCAAGAGCGCGGCCACCGTGCGGGCTGGGATCGTGGAGGTCCTGTCGGAGGCAGCTGTCATCGCGGCCTCCGGATCCGTGGGTAAGGAGGGGACCCAGCGAGCCTCACAGTGTGGCGGGGGGATGCTGACGTGCAGGTGGGCGGGGAGGAGGCATTTATTTTTTAGTGGAAGCCGGAAAGGAGCATGAGAGACTCAGTGTCTGCTGGGACAGCCAGTGGGAGCTACTTCCGAGGGGATCTTCAGCACTTCCCCTTCTTATTCCATCTCCTGGACGGGTCAGTCGCTCAACACCGCCACCGGGGCCGCTCTGGAGGTTGGTGACTGCCCTGTCTTTCCCCTTCTCTCCGGCCACTAGGTCGGCATCTGCCTTTCTGGGCTTGAGCTCCCGGCCGGGTGGAGATTTCCGGCTGGCCAGGGCCGGCAGCAGTGACGGCTCTGAGAGGCGCTGTGCTTGGTTCTCAGGCGCAAACCTCCGCCCTGCAGTGACCGTCGGCATTTCTGTCCGTTGCCTTCTGAGAGCGTGGGGCGAGACGGGGCATTGCCGCGATGCCGGCAGTCGCCCCGCACGTGGCACGGGCCGCGGCGCCAGCGGGGTAACCTCTGCGCACCACGGAAGGGAACGCGACAGAGAGACCGACCGTGGCGTGGCCGATCGCTGGGGCCCGTGGGGCTGTGTCCTCGGGGAACGGCTCAGCCTGGCTCTGGCCCTGTGGGCGCCAGCTCAGAGAGCCGGACCTTGCTGAGCCTTGTGGGGAGAATGGTGCATCCGAGGTTTGTTCTGACTCCCGGCTGGAGCAATCTCAGGGGGCGTTTGGAAAGGCAGGCTGCCCAGCAAGGCATTTCCCTCTGCCGCCAGCTCCTTGCTCCCGCCTCGGGCAGCAGCCACGCTCCGTTGTCCCGGGTGGGAGGAGGCAGGAGCCCGTAATATCGCTCGAGCCCAGCTGGCTTTATGGGCCAGTGGAGGGGCTGGTTTACGGGCTGAGCTGAGCACGTGCAGACAGGGATTATAGGCTTTAAAGGATTGGCGCCGGCATTTGGACAGCGCAGCCGTCTGGATCCCCTGTGCGCCACGCTCCTGCTTTGGGAGGCAGAATCGCAGAAGCCTGACCGGAGAGGGGTTGTTCCTTGTGCTTAGCACTGGGGGGCATAGACCCAGGAGTCCTTACCGTCCTGGCCTCCTGGCACCCTGCACCACACAAAGGCAGATGAATGTATTCTGTCTGTTCATCAGACTCTCTTCTATCCTGGGTTCCTTGGGGCTGCGGGTTTCCTAGCTCTGAGCTCCTGTGTCTCCAGCACACCAGGACAGAGAGCATGGTGTCTCAGCCGGGTCTGGGCGTTGAACTCCGAGGGTCAATTCCCAGCTCTGGCACTGTCCCGCTGTTAGACCTTGGGTAGGTTACCTAACCCATCTGTGCTTCACTTTTCCTATTTGCAAAAAGCAGCTGATGAGACGGGGTCCGTAGAACAGGATAATGAGCGGGCAGGATATTTGAGAAAGAGGTGCACATAATCAGGATTCCACTGTGCTTTGCTTTTGGCTACATTTCCCGCCTTTCCCTCCATCTTTACTGTGCCTTTCTTTCTTGTATGTATGTTCCTTACAAGTGTTTTCTGGCCAGAGGTGCATCAGACACACACTGGCCCTGGGAGAAACTGGGTAGTTGTTAACGGCCTTACAGGAGCTCAGCAGGATCTCTGTGCTGAGCGCCTCGCCAACACACAGTGAGAGATGCTCTCAGGCCCAAAGAGCTGGCAAGCAAAATAGATGAGAGCAGGGCTGGGAGAGGAAACTGAGGCATGGCTCAGTGACGTGAGTTGCTCAAGATGGATGGCAGAGCTGGGAACAGAGCCCAGGTCTCCCAGTAAGCTCTGTGCAATACTCCCAGCATGCTCTGTGCAATACTCCCAGCATGCTCTGGGCAGCTCGGTACGATCCTGCGCAGCTCCTCTAGCAAAACTGCCGGGGCTTCTTCCGTAGGCAGCGTGGTTGGTGCTGTCGGTCCCTTAAAGAGACAGTGACCTGGAGAAGAGCTCGGGGTGGCTAAAAGCATGTCTCTCTTCCCCACAGGAGTCGGTCCCCTCCCTCACCTCGTCTCTCTAGAGTTTGGTCTGTTCTCATGTGTCCTTGTGAGGCTCTCACATCCCCGTGGTATCTAACCCCTCCAGTGGTGCAGTCAGCGGCATGACCGCACAGCATGCGTGCCAGCTGTTCTCTTGGCCTCTCCCAGGAGCAGCAGTGCTTGCAGTGGAGTGACTGGTTTGGTAGGGCTGTGGGGGGGTTGGCTTCCGAGAAGTCGTTCTTCCGCTCTACTCTGTGCTGATTGGCCTCACCTGGAGTATTGTGTCCAGTTCTGGGCACCGCATTTCAGGAAAGATGCGGAGAAATTGGAGAAGGTCCAGAGAAGAGCAACAAAAATGATGAAAGGTCTAGTAAATGTGGCCACTGAGGGAAGACTGAAAGAATTGGGCTTGTTTACTCTGGAAAAGAGAAGACTGAGAGGGGACTTGATCGTGGTTTTCAGGTACCTGAAAGGGTGTTCCAAGGAGGAGGGAGAAAAATTGTTCTCCTTGCCTCTGAGGTAAGGATGTTGAAGACTAGTCAAGTAGTCGACTAGCCGATAAGCATTTGCTTATCGGATAAGTTTTTCATTCCTCCTTTGAAATGTACAAAATCCCCCACTGGGGCTCTTGAACATTTCAAAGGAGGAATATGGAACTCTGTGAACAGCCCGGGGCCAGTGGGAAGTTCTGCTGACTCCGGGCTGCACGCAGGTGTCTTCTCTGAAATGCTCAAGAGTCCCTAGCGGGGACTCTTTCAAAGCCATGGAGCCCAGGATCAGCCATGGGCATTTCAAAGCCATGGAGCCCAGGATCAGCGGGGGACTCTGAGTCCCCCGCTGACCCCGGGCTCCATGCTATGCTTCATGCCTCTTGTGCATTTCAAAGCCATGGAGCCTGGGGTCAGTGGGGGACTCACAGTGCCCCGCTGACTCTGGACTCCATGCCATGCTGCATGCCGCTAGGAGCCCGGGGTCAGCTGGGGACTCCCCAGTTGATCCCGGGCTCCCTGCGGCATTTCCCAGCTGACCCCGGGCTCCTAGCGGCATGCAGCATAGTCCCCAGCTGACCCCGGGCTCTGGGTCCTCCCCCCCGATTCCCGGGTTCCAGGGCTTTGAAATGCACCTGCTGGAGATTCTTGTGCATTTCAAAGCAGGTGCCTGCGTGCAGCCGGGAGTCAGCGGGACTTCCCGCCGGCCCTGGGCTGTAGGAGGAGTTGTGCATTCCTCCTTTGAAACGGACAAGAGCCCCAGAGTACATTTCAAAGGAGGAATGCAGAAGTGCCTATTGGCTAGTTGATGGAAATTCCGTCGACTAGTCAATTAACCGTATTTTAACATCCTTACTCTGATGATAGGACAAGAAGCACTGGGCTTAATTTGCAGCAAGGGAGGTTTAGATTGGACATTAGGAAAAACTTCCTAATGGTCAGAGTGGTTAAGCATTTCATAAATTGCCTAGGGAGGTTGTGGAATCTCCAGCACTGGAGATATTTAAGAGCAGGTTAGACAGACACCTGTCAGGGATGGTCTAGATGGTGCTTGGTCCTGCCATGAGGGCAGGGGACTGGACTCGATGACCTCTCGAAGTCCCTTCCATTCTAGCATTCAGCGATTCTAGGATTAACCCGGGTGTTGCGCTGCGTTGGAGCGAGCAGGCCAGAGACGTGCACCCTGCGTTCGGAGCAGACGGTGGGGAGGTGGTCTGCAGCTCTGGGGGAGTTCCCTGCAGTGTCGTGGGGAGCCATTACTGTGTTGTAACCAGGCTGCATGCAGACTCTTGTCACGACGTTCCTGAGCCGTGCCGGCCGGGGCTTTCAAGAGCGCTCAGCGTTGCCCCAGATCTCTGCCCTGCACCGAGTGCTCACACCCGTTTGCTGGGAGCAGAGCTAGGCTGACGCTGAGCCTGTTTCGAAACCCCACCCACTTCCTCCCTTGGGCCCTGGCCTGTTAGGACCTGGTCTACACGAGAGCTTGTCCTCATCACTGGTACTGCCCGTCTCCGTGGTGGCCACGGAGGGAGCCGCTCCGGGCTGGGCTTGCTCCATCGTTTGGGTTGTCTGGTGTGATCTGTCCAAGCATTGCTTGCTGGGGGACCTGATTTCTTTTGTGGGACATATCGGGGTGGGGATTTTTCCCCAGAGGCCAGACTCCTCATTGAGTTGAGTTGGGTCCAACAAGGGCTTGGGCCCAAATGACTAACAAATCAGTAGGACGGTTGGTTCCCTTCTGTGCAGGCAAACCCCAGACGGTGCTTTTGGAAATGATCCTCAGTGTGGGGTCTGTGCTGGTGCAGATGCGAGAGGTGGGAGGCGAGGTTCAAACTGGGAGGGGTGAGTCAGTGGTGTCCACCACAGCCCCGAGCAGTTCTCCCGGTATGCTAGGCACTTATGCGGCCGCTCAGGAGAGCTACAGACGCCACCCAGCTGATTAGCAGAGTGCCCACCACTAGGTTTGTGTTTTGAATTGGTGGTGCACATTCACACATGCCTCAGTGCACAGAGAAACAATTATTCCGCATAGGGATGGAAAAAATCCGCACATGGCTGGAATGGATTAGAGGGAACATCCCCTGAGCCTGGGATGTCAGGTTGTGCCCATGTTCAACCGGCCCTTTCTTTCTACCCCCTTTCTTTCTACCAGTCGGGGCTGCGTGTTCCAGTAAGAGCAGCAGGGCTGGCTGCATGGAAGCAATGGGCTGTATTAGCTAGACTGCAGGCCTGGGTCTCTGGAGAGCTGAGTTCAATTCCTAGCTCTGCCCTGGGTCTGCAGGGTGTCTGGCCAAGTACTTTCCTGTCTATCAAAGGGGGCTAGTGATACTGACCTCTAAGGGCTCAGTGTGATGATATATGCCTATCTGTCTCTACCCCCTCAGGCCCGACAGTGCTGGAAGTATTTAACACCCTGCTGAGGCAGCTCCGGCTGAGCATCGACTATGAGCTGACGGGCAGCTATGACGGGGCCGTCGTCAATACCAAGATCAAGGAGCACGAAGAGCGGATGTTCCAAGAGGCCGTCATCAAGACCACAGGTACGCAGGCTGCGCGCTCCATCCTCATTGGCCGGCCGGGGCCCGCTCTGCTAGGAAGGATGCGTTTGGACCAGGGGCTGTCCTTTGCTGCTGCTGCTGGTCGGGTTGGACACTGGCGATTGGATGGTTGCGAAAACCAGAGCCGTCCAACGAGAAACGATCCAAATCTCCTGCCCGCAGAGCAGCACAACGTGCTAGCCCAGGAGGGGCCAGGCGTCTGGTGCCCAGGTCTAATTGATGTTCCCCCAGACTGTCAGAGTCTCTCTAACACTATACACCAAGACAATTTAATTTTAGCCTCATATGTGAGTCTACTCCAAAGCCCACAGACTCCCATTGACTTAGGATCAGGCTCTATAGACCAGTGTTTCTCGACCAGTGGTCTGAGCACCCTCAGGGGTACTCGAGAAGTCTTGGGGGGTACGTCAACAGAACTGAAATGTGGAGAAAACTGAATGTTTGTTTTAAGTTTTATTATTTTTGTACTTTTTACACCTAAAAATGTCATCACCCGCCCAGCTACAATTAAGTTGTTTAAACAAATGTGTTGCAATGGTAGAAAAAAAAATGTGTGTGTGTGTGTGTGTGTGTGTGTGTGTGTGTGTGTGTGTGTGTGTGTGTGTGAAAACTGTAGGTACTGGGGGTACTTTTTTTTTAAAGGGGTACTTTATAAAAAAAGGTTGAGAAACACTGCTCTAGACAACAGGGATGTGTAACAGCGGCATTGGGAAATGGTTAGGGGGAAGTAATATCAGAGCTGTCTAACTGAATGATCGTTATGAGCAGTAATTGCTGATTGCAGATCCCAGTGGAGTTCTTTTAGAACAGCTTGTTTTCCAAATCAGCCCTATGGAAAACACAAATCCATGAGTTTCTCGGGATGGGGGGGGTCTATTTCTTTATCCTGCCATCATTTCATTTATGTCTGATGTGTACATTTCCTGGAGGGGTCAATTGACTTCCCATAGGTCATGGATGCTTTGGCAGAAATTTGGATCCAGTTTAAATCATAAGTAGCCCTGAACTGGATTCAGAGGGGTAGTCATGTTAGTCTGTTTCAGCAAAACCAGCAAGGAGTCCTGGGGCACTGTAAAGACTCTTTAAGGTGCTACAGGCCTCCTTATTGGGTTTTTTTCCCCATGAATTGGATGGATCTGTCATCTGGGTTTGTGTTTTTCCACGTAGGATAGCCTGGTGGAGGGGTGCCCGGACAGGAGGGGCCGCAAATCAGGACTATTTATGCAGAATAAACAAATTATTGAAAACAAGGAGTGGTCCTGTGGCACCTTAGAGACTAACCAAAATATATAGAATCATGAGCTTTCATGGGCAAAGCCCACTTCCTCACATGAGCTGGAGTGGAAATAACAGAAACCAATATTTATTTATATATCTATGGCTATATCTATGGATATAAGTAGTTCTAGGTTGTCTGCAGTTTGAACTCAGGCCCCCTCACCCCTGTCTTCCCTTCCTCCACAGCAGGGATCCTGCGCTGGCGTTTCAGCCCTCGCCTCCCCGCCCTCGAAGCTGGAGCACCAGCACTGGTTTCCCTCCTGGCCTGACACCCTACCCCCACTCTGCCCCTGAACCCACCCTTGCTCCTGCATCCTCCCTGCTGGCCACACTCTGCACCTTCCCTTGCTCCTGCTCCTTCCCCCCAGACAGACACCCAACTCCTAGCCTGCTCCTGCATCCTACCTCCCACCCTGACCTTGCACCTTCATCCCCTCCTGCATCCCACCTCCCACCCAGATCATGCACCCCCATCCCTAACCCACTCACTGGCAGCCCACATGTTGAACCCTTCATTTTTGTCCCCACCCTAGATCCTAGTGGGGTCCACAAAATCCACTCACCTCAGAACCCCATAAGAGTAAATCCAGCCCATAGGAAGCACTAAACCTCAGTCCTCTCTGTCCCTTCCCCTCGCCCTTTGGGGCTGGCGTGCCAGAAGAGTGAGATGGCTCAGTTGAGGACCACATCAGTAAGGATTGGAAGTTCTGGAGGGGTTTTTTTGCTTCTCTCTTGTGTGGGCCCCAACTGATTTTTCTTTGGGTCAATGGCTCCTGACACAAAAAAGGTTCCCCACCCCTGCCATAAATAAAGAAAACATTGAAACTTTTTGTGTTGGACATAAATTAATATTGTACTTTATTTAAAATGAAGTTTGATAAACTAACATGAGAAAGTTAAAACCCTTAATCTGTTTAATAATTTAATATTTCCTTTCTTACCGATTAAATTAAACTGTTCTCCTTAGCTGCAGCACTAGCAAAATGGCTCGGGTGTAATTATGTAATTAATGGTGAATTTCCATTAACTATTAGTGGTCCACAGGAAATGTTTGCATTGAGCCAGCTAGGCCAAGGGCCAAAAAGTTGTATGAGGAATAAGGGTTACACGTAGGGTATTTCAAAATAGCGGCGGTCCGTGATTATGCAAATGAAGCGCAGGGAATTCAAATCCGCGCTTCATTTGCAATTTCGCTCAGCTGCATTTGCATCCCTCTCTCGAAAGAGGGTGCAAATGGAGACACACCCTGAGAGACTAACAAAAATATATAGCTAGTATCATGAGCTTTCGTGGGGTGAATTGAGGAATAGCCGTTTCACTTGGCTTGCAATGACAATGAAGGAGCAGCAGAGGGCCGCATCTGCCCACAGATTCCCACTATGCCTCATCTCAGAGGCTGGACACAAGGAATTGCGGAGAGATTCCGGCTCTAGGCAAAGATTTCCCTTTGCCCTGGTGTGCTTTGGGCGCTGTGTACGGAGCTCAGAATTTAACAGCCCAGCCTTGCAGAGAGGTGGGGGGCGGTGGAGGTAGGAAGAAGGGACTGTGGGCTTGAGCTAATGAGGAGCTACCAGCCTCCCTGCAGGTCTAGGCTTCTGCCGCAGGCTTTACGCTTCTGATCCAGGTCTGCCCGTCACTCAGAGCAGTGGAAGGGTAGCACGTTGCCTGCTGGGCTGGTCCATCTGCCTTAGGAGCCCACGCCCGGTGGAGGTGGGGTGTGAGTGTCGGGGAGGGTCATGCAGGGAGACCATAAAACCCAAGCGAGGAAGCTGCTACAGGCCACTGCTTAAGCTCCTCGGGGCTTGCTCTGTGCACCGTGCATGGCCTGCGGCCAGCGTGTCTGCTGCATATCCCTGGCAGGCTGGTAGCCAAGCTGAGCTGCCCTGCCGGGGTGGCTCCTCCACTCATGGTTCCAAGCACACACATGGGAGCGGGAGCGACTCTAGCCAGACAGGCCCTGGCGCTTGCTGTGGCGGGATGTACTGACCCCGACTGGCGACCCCGGTCCTGGGCCTGGGCGACTCGGGAGGCGCACTGCTCTCTTGTGCCCTTGCCAGGATTTCAAGTGCTAATTGGGGTGCCCCTCCTGTTCCCCTATTCCTCTGGGTGGCCCTCCCTGCGCCCTGTATCCCCGCAGGCACCATGAGCCTGAGAGCTGCTAGGCCCGTGGCTGAGTGGAGCAGGAGGTGCTGGAGGATGCTGCTTTGAAGGCTGCTTCTGCGGGCTGGGTGCTGATTACAACGGGCCTTTCCGCTGATTTTCGGCCCTCTGAGTAGCTAACGGGTCCCACTCGAAGCCCGTCAAGACCGAATTGAGCTGGGTGCTGGTGACGAGTTACTCAAGCTCCGCCCCTGCGGTGACATAAACCCCTCCCACCAACGCCGGTGGGCCGCCCCCGGCTTCCCGCAGGCTGGAATAGAAGGAGGAAGCCCTTCCTGCTGGTGCCAGCCCCACGGTTCAGCCTGGGGGCTGTCTGCCAGGCGTGTCGTGTCGTGGGGGAGATAAACGGACTTGCCCCCCCTGTCTCCAGCTGACTGCCGAGGGCAGAGATCAGCGCGTCCGCAGGGGGAAGGGGAACTGTCTGTGTGTTCCTTCTGCCTGTCGGCTCAACCGTCTTGCCTGCTCTTAGCACTGTCTGTCTTCTCAGGTTCCTTTGCCAGCACCCTCCCCACCTACCAGAAGTCGGAGGTCATGCTCTTTATCATGAGCAAGGTCCCGCTGCCTTCTCTGCACCACGCGATCGAGGCCGGGAAAGCTGGGTGAGGGCGAATTTCCTTCTCTTCTCTCCCTGCCCTTCCTGCCGAAAGGGAGCCTTGCTCGGGCGACACACTGGAAGCTGGTCAAGGATTGGGACACCTCCCCTGCCTCCTCTGGGACGTGCAACGCACAAGAGTTTAGTTCACACCCAGACGCTTGGGGCTGCTCCCCTGAGTCGTTGTGCGGGAGAAAACACCGTCCACCACTAGGCCCCAGGTTCAAGTCTAGGCCCCGGTGGCTGTAGCGAGGGCCAGGCCTTTATGAATGAGCGGGGGAGCTCCCTTTCAGCTCTTACTGGATGGGTGCCCATCGCCGCAGCCGGTCCTCTTAGCAGCAGAGACGCCAGAGAGCGAGTGAAGGCCCATCGGCCCTGCTCTCTCGCTCAGTGCTTGGTGCATGAGGGCGCTGGCACAGCCATTTCAGTGATTGTGGGCTCCGAGGACTGTGATCTGCCATTCTCTTTGTCTGGACTCGCCCTGCCAATTCTCTTCCAAAGCCTCTCTGTGGTGCAGTCACGGAGGCACGTGAATCCAGTGTGTCACCTGCAAAAGGCTTCCCTCTTCCTTCTCATGCCCTGCTGTATGTCCCTGACGACATTGTCCTGGGCAAGAGAGCTTGGGGAGAGCAGAGCTTTAATAACAATGGCCAGACGTGGTCAGACCAAAGGTCCATTTTGCCCAGTAGCCTGTCTTCCAACAGTGGCCAATGCCAGGTGCCCCAGAGGGAGTGAACACAACAGGGTAGTTATTGAGCGATCCATCCTGTCACCCTTTCCCAACTTCTGGCAGTCAGAGGCTAGGGACACCAGAACTACCGAGGGACTTTTTCTCTAGCTCTTTTTTGAACCCTGTTGTAGTCTCAGTCTTCACAACATCCTCTGGCAAGGAGTTCCGCAGGTTGACTGTGCATTGTGCAGAACAGTACTTCCTTTTGTTTGTTGTAACCTGCTGCTTATGAAATGCTTTAATGCTGTATGTCCATCCTTCCAGGCAGACTTGGCCACAGGAGAGTAGTCGTGTCATCAGAATTAGCCATGTAGGTTTGATGGACTGTTCTGCTAGAGGCTGGAAGCATGCAGAGGGTTAGGGCTTCAGGCAGGAGACTCCTGGCCGGTATTCCCCTCCCTGCCACTGACTTACTGAATGACCTCCCACGGAAGACAGTTTCCCGTCTCAATCTGGGGGAAAATTATCATGGTTGCTAGCGGCAGCTTGGAAATTAGAGGCCGCTCTCCTCCCCTTGAAGTAACTGACTCCATAAACACACATGTAGAATAGTGATAGAGATGCAGCCGTGTTAGTCTGGTGTAGCTGAAACAAAAAACAGGACGATGTAACACTTTAAAGACTAACAAGATGGTTTATTAGGTGATGAGCTTTCGAGGGCCAGACCCACTTCCTCAGATCAAAAATCTTTTTTTGATCTGAGGCAGTGGGTCTGGCCCACGAAAGCTCATCACCTAATAAACCATCTTGTTAGTCTTTAAAGTGCTACATAGTCCTGTATTTTGTTTCATAAACACACATGTGCTAGTGTAAACTCTTCTCTAATTTATGGGCCTAGCTCCTGGGGCAATACAGGGCTTGAACCTAATCCCCGAAGCCTGCATTTCCAGTTCTAGAGAAGTGTCTCCTTTCCTTCGGGGTGTGGATTATTCACACCCCTGTGAGCCGTAGCAGTGTTCTCAGTGGAGATTGGCCCCACGGGGGGACCTTCGGATTTACCCCGAAACATTCAATAATGACAGTCTTGGTTTGTGCCTAGTGACAGAGCAGAATGAATACGTTACGCCCTAGTGACTAGTGAAAAGCAGGCGTGTCTCCACTGCATGCAGTTGTGTTGCACGGGTACGAGACAAAAGTGATTTTGGAATGAGGCCTCAATCCGGAGTGCTTGGCTGGGCAGTACCGGGGAGGTGATTGCAGTACAAACAGCTGCTGTGTGCACGCTAAGGAGGGAGAGGAAGGAGCCAAGGGCGTGATGTTAAGGACCACGCGGGCTATAGAGCAGAGAGATCTTTCTGACTAGGGAATAGTGCCCAGTGTTAGTGCTGCTGGTGTGGCCAGGGTTGCCTGAGCCACCAAAGAGGCCTGCCTGGGGCACAGGGAAATATCCCACAGGGAGCCCTGGCGGGGGAATAGACTTTTCCATCTCAGCCTGTTTGGGATTTGCGGACGTCTCTTTTCCGCGCCGGGGTCAGCGTTTGTTTTTGCCCCTTGCAGGGAGAATCGGAATCGCCTGACTCAGATAATGCTGCTGAAATCCCTCCTTCAGGTACGAACGGGTCCTCTGAGCAGACATGGTTGGTTTGGGAGCGAAGTCTCAGCACAGGGCTCCCCCTAGGACAGCTGGTGGCCAGCCGGCGGGTCAGCCTGCGGGCCCTCACCAGTCCTCAGCAAGGCTTGAATGGACACGGGGTCTGATTGCTCGCTCTCGTGCGAAGAGCAGAGCCCGGGTTGGTCGAATACGCCAAGCCAGGGACTGGCTGGGTGGCTCCGTGGTTGGCGCATTGCTAAGCCACGCGGGTTTAATTTACTTGCTTTTCAAAGCTAGAGATGCTGGTAGGTTGCAGGGGCAGCCCTGGCCTGTGTGCTGGATTGGTGGCTGCAGTGCTTCAGGCGTTTTCCCCACCAGTTAACATCATCCTCCACCTTGTGCGCCCCGCAGGTCTCCACGGGCTTCCAGTGCAGCAACATGCTCACGGCCCTGCCCAGCTCCTTCCTGGACCGGCTGCTCTCCGCCGCCTTGATGGAAGACGCCGACCTGCGTCTCTTTGTCCTCGAGATCCTGATCAGCTTCATTGACCGCCATGGAAACCGGCCCAAGTTTTCAACCATCAGGTGCGTTGGTGTGTGTCATGCGGAAGGGCCGTGGCTGGGACCAGCCTCCAGTGTTACATCCCAGGGCCGGGAGCCAAGAACAAGGAGCTCCTGCCGCTGATTTCCTCTGGGATGCTGGACACCAAGCGTCCCGTGCCTCGGTTTCCTTTTCTGTAAAACGGGGATTGATCCGTGCTGTCCTCACAGGGGCTGTTGTGAGGTTTATTAATTAATGTCTGTAAAACCCTTTCGAGATGAAACCTTTCTAGTCCGCCTCCTCCTGTCCGTATTCATGTCACAGAGCCTAGAGGCTCAACCAAGTACTGCAAGTATTAGGAGCCTAAGAGTGTGTCTACACAGCAAAGTTATTTTGGAATAATGGCTGTTACTCCGAAATAATTATGTGAGTATCTACACAGCAATTTTGTTATTTTGAAATAATTTCTAAATAACAGACGGCTTATTCCGACTTCTGTACACCTCATTCTACTAAGAATAGCGCCTATTCCAAAATAGCTATTTCAAAATAAGGCGTGTGTAGATGCTCCACTGCTGCTATTTTGAAATAGCCCTTCACCAGGGCCATTCTAAATTATTCCTCCTGCGGCTCTACAGCTAGATAGCACATCTACATCAGGGGAGCCTGCTTTGGACTAATTTTGAGGCTTCTTTGCAGTGTAGACGTGCTATTTCGAAATAAGATATTTTGGAAGAATGGTTCCCGAATAGCTTATTCCGAAATAACTGTGCAGTGTAGATGTAGCCTCAGGCTATGTCTAGACTACAAAGAGGGATGTAAATCAGGCAGATTGAAAATGCAAATGAAGCTGGGATTTGAATTTCCTGTGCTTCATTTGCATAATGGCGGCCGAGCGTTCTTTCAAAAAACGGCTTTTCGAAAGTGAAACCGCTGTCTAGATGCGGTTCTTTCGAAACTCCCCCTGTTTTTGAAAGAACCGTAATGCCTGAAAAATGAGGTTTACAGGTTCTTTCGAAAAAGGTTTTTTTTTTTTTTTTTTTTTTCAAAACTGCCCCCGCATGTCTGTCTGCAGTTACCTTCACTTGTACGTAACAACATCGCGACTGGAACTCCCTGAGGGAGTGCCCTGTCTGTGCTCTGCGAGGGCATGTCTAGGCTACATCCCTCTTTCGAAAGAGGGATGTAGCCTAGACATGCCCTCGCAGAGCACAGACAGGGCACTCCCTCAGGGAGTTCCAGTCGCGATGTTGTTACGTACAAGTGAAGGTAACTGCAGACAGACATGCGGGGGCAGGAATAGGGCTGGGCTACTGCAGCTAAAGTCAGGTGACAGCTTTGTCGTTTACATCTCTTAATAGCTTAGTTTGCTTTACAAATGTGCCACGGGCCTCCAGCAGTGTGCCCTCGAAGCTGAGCGCTTGGGCGGCCACCCAGGAGAAATTCACATGCCACCCAGCTGATTAGCAGAGCGCCCACAGCCGCCCATAGCTAGCAGCATGAGTTTCTACCGGTGGTGCGCATCTGCACATGCCTCGGTGCCAGTAACAATATTTATTCCACACATGGATGGAAAAAATGAGAAGGAACATTGGCCTCCACATCAGGTCTCGCCAGGCGAGTTTACTCCCTGGAGGTGGTACTGTAGCAGGGGGTGTGGAGGAGGCAGTTTGCATTCTACCCAGAAGACTAAGGAAGGGCAGGTGTCGTCCCCCTACAAAGTCTGCCGTCTGCATCATAGATTTCCCTTCCCCTTGTCTTTGTAACGGCAGCATCATCAATGACATCTCGGTCCTGAAGCTGAAAGTGGACAAGTGTTCGCGTCAAGATACCGTCTTCATGAAGAAGGTAGGCACGGGGCTGATCCGAGCAGCTGGCTGGCTGTTATGCTGGGTGGCTCGCCCACAAAATGCACGTGACCCGGCTAAGGGATGTGGCCCCGTTTCCCGTGTCATGCGGCAGGGAAGAGAGGAAAGGCCTTAGCCCGCCCGTGCCGGGGGCACCCAGTATCGTGGGAGATACGTTAACAGGTGCAAATAGATCTCCACTCACTGCCCTGCGAATGTTCCTTTGCACCCCAAGCCCATCCATTGTTTTCTCTTGGGAGTGGCTCTCCCCAGAATCCTTTGTGCTGTAGGATCTAATAATGTGGTGTCAAGGCTAATTCTCCACTCTGGCATGATGAATGCAGAAGTGGGGGCCTGCAAAAATACCCCAAACCTTATCTTTGGTATAAAACTTCCCCCCAAAATCCTAAAAACCTAGATTTTGGGGGGAAAAATCTGCTGCCACCATCAAGTGCTTTTGAACCCACAAACAGGGGTGGACGCTTGAAACCAACCCCAGGGCACCCCAAGCTCTTTCCCCAAAGAGCTTGAAAAAGAAAAGAGAAAATACAAACTGCAGTCTGTGGCTGCTCTCCCCAGTCAGAGGCACGCAAATCCCACTGACGGATTTTCCAGGACACAGAAATGAACCAATACCAGGTGAATAAAAAATAAAGAACTTTTATTATCAAAACAATACTCCTGTTGCAAGCATAATGACTAGATGGAAAAAGTCACCAATTAATATACTCACGGGGACTCCCATGGGCCAAAACTTAGTTACAAAAGAGAGGAAAACCCATTTCTAACAGCACAGATATCAGATCCAAAGTCCCACACCAGAAAACAATAAAACCTAATGGATTTATCTAAACTTTACCCTACTTACACATTATGAAGAGTCTTTTTCTTGGAAAAGCGACGAGGAGTCCTATGGCACCTTATAGACTAACTGAAGTGTAGGAGCATAAGCTTTCGTGGGCAAAGACCCACTTCGTCAGATGCACGTAGTGGAAATTTCCAGAGGCAGGAATAAATATGCACATTTTTTCTTGGAGAGACACATGTCTTCTGTCTCCCTCAGTATCTAGAGCAAACTGGGTCAGAGACACAGGAGGGAAAACCCCCAAATTCCTTTGTCTCAGTTTGAAATCCCTACCTGCATTTCTATTGGCTGAATGCTACCTGGCTAGGTACAGTTAACCCATTAGTCCCCGGGCTGCTGCCCATCCCTCGTGGTTATGACATGTGAGCACTGTTGGGTGGTATCTTTTCAGAGGCCCCATTTACACTGGACAATTTCACAGCTACCAGTAAGTTTACAGTGCTCATTTACACAATGTCCTGCCCTGAGTGCTCCCAATTAACTTACTTCCACCTGCCTCTTCCATCATTGCAACTGCTACAGAACCCCCAAAATCTGAAAACTGTCTCGTACGCTGCACACGCACCTTCTGTTCACTGACGCCCCGCTCGCCTCGTTTGTACAGCCGGGAGGCTGCTCTGTTTACACGCACAAGGTTTCCTCTGCAACTACGGAAGCTAATTCAAGTTCATAAGGAAAGCTCAGGACGGGAGGAACACTCTGTGTTCCCCAGACATGACCTGCCCATGCTGAGGTCATGATCCTCAGGCTGAGAGCCACGGCTTCTGACTGTAGGAGAACCAGCTTCCAGATCCCTGCTGGTCTGCCCTGGGGTGGGGGAACAGGCAGAAGGGACTCCCCGTAGGTTTATAGCCGCCATCTCTTTAATGTACATCTGCACAGCTGGCTCCCGAGTGGAGGTGGGATTTGGCGGCGAGATTTTGTGCGGATGGTTGGGGAAACCTGCGGGTTTGTAGACACAGCCTGACGGGGGCCCTGCGGAGCTACCAAACCACAACCAATACAGAGCCTAGTGTGAACCATGTGATAAGAAGCTAGAGCAGTGTTTCTTAAACTTTTTAAGACCGAGGAACACCAAACAATATATTTTTTTTATGAGGAACACCAAGGAATTTTTGTTGAGCAAAAAAGAAGAAGAAAAAAAAAAAAGGTTGGGGGGGAAAATGGTCCAGGGGAAAATTACTGAGGAAGAAAAGGGTCGGGGGAGAGTTGACCCAAAAAAAAAAAAAAAAAGGTTGCCTGCCCCTTTAAGGGCGGTCATTTTGAATTCTGTTCTCCGCGGCACACCTCCAACTGCCTCGTAGCACACCGGTGTGCCGCGGAACACAGTTTAAGAAACACTGAGCTAGAGGAAAGCGGGACAGCAAAGGGCATGCAGGTTGGGGCCCCGGCTCAGGACCGCGCTCGATTCCCTTCGTGGGCCTCACGTGCTTGCTGTGCCTTCAGACTCGGAACCTGGCCCTGAGATGTGCTGAGTTGAGGGGTCTCGGCGCCTTGCCTTGAGCGCTTCCCAGTTAGCAGTGCAGCGGGGCGCTAAGGCAGCTCCCTGCCTCTCCTGGCACCGCAGACCATGCAGCCCCCCAGAAGCAGCCTGCAGCAGGTTCCCAGCCAATGGGAGTGCGGAGCTAGTGCTCAGGGCAGGGGCAGTGCACAGAGCCCTGTGCACTCTTCCCTCACCCCAACTTCGGAGCTGGGCTTGCTACCAGCTGCTTCTAGGCTGTAGCACAATCTGTGGGGCCAGGACAGGCAGGGAGCTGCCTTATCGCCCCCACTGGTCACCTGATCCTGCTGCAGCAACAAGTCCCAGGGCCTGACATTTCATGCCCCAGTGCTGGGTCACAACCCGAAGCTGGAAAACCACTGAGCTAGAGCCCTGTTCCCTAGATCAGTGTTTCTCAATCAGTGGTACGAATGCCCTTAGGGGTACTTGAGAGATGTCTGGCGGGAGTGGGGGGGAGAGGTACGTCAACACAACTGAAATTTGGAGAGAACTGAATTTTTGTTTTACGTTTTACAGCGCTGTATTATTTTTGTACTTTTTACACCCACAAATGTCATTGCCCTCCCGGGCTACGATTAAGTTGTTTATACAAATGTGTTGCAACGGTAGTTAAAAATTTGGAGTGTCTGAAAACTGTCGGTACTGTGGGTACTTACAATTTGATTTTTTTTTGCTTTGAAAAAGGGGTACTTTATAAAAAAAAAAGGTTGAGAAACACTGCCCTAGGGCTAATGTCTCACCCCTAGTGGGGGCTGGAAGCACCAGCTGGTTCAACTTGTGCCATGCTTGGCTGGCTCCCTTCATGCCTCTCTCACAAAAACTCGGATGGCCCTGGGCTCAGTTTATGTGATGCCAGGCTCTCTTCTCTCCACAGCACTCCCAACAGCTGTACAGGCACATCTACCTGACGAGCAAGGAGGAGAGCAACGTGCAGCCTCACTACGAGGCGCTCTACAGCATGCTGGCGCTCATTAGCATCGAGCTGGCCAACGAGGAGGTGGTGGTGGACCTCATCCGCCTGGTGCTGGCAGTGCAGGTAGGCTGGAGTGAACAGGGCAGGTATCTGGGGTCCCACAGGATAACGGGCTCCTCCTCACTGCACAAAGAGAGGATCAGCGCATGGATCTGAGCTAGGCCTGGAGCGGACAGACCAAAGGGGTGTAAGTTCCACCATGGCAAACAGGTGGAAGGGAATTTACCAGGGCTGGGCTCCATTAAGTTGCTGGCCTTAGTGAAGACATGGCTTAAATGGATGATCAACGCTGCTGCGATCGAACTGCAGCAGGAGGGAGGGGGCAGAGCAGGGGTGGAGCCCCCTGGGGAAAAAATAAAAGTCAGCGCCTATGGTCGCTTGTGAGGCTGGGCCCACCTCCCCTGAAAGCACCAGCCTCCCTGGGACACGTTTGGACCCAGCTGCTGCCTTCCCATCAGTCTGCCATTGCTGTGCTAACCAGCAAACCCGCTCGCCGGGCTTTGCAGGAGATCGCGCAGATCAACGAGGATAACCTGCCCGTGTACAACCGCTGTGCCCTCTACGCCCTCGGCGCCGCCTACCTGAACCTGATCAGCCAGCTCACCACGGTGCCCGCCTTCTGCCAGCACATTCATGAGGTCAGTGCGGGCGCCCCCCCCCCCCGCGCTCCTCAGGGCACGGCGCCAGCGGCCGGCTCGTCCCTGCGCGGAGGGCGGTCAGGAGATCAGGCTCTCCGGGGGAGACGTGGGGCATGGTTACCTCACCAGATCCAGGGCTCGGGGAACACCGGAGACTGCCCTGGCCCTAAGCCACCAGGTCATTTCCAGCCCCGGCTGGAAGCCACCGAAAATCTTTCCTGTTGGCTGGAGGGTGTGCAGCGAGTGTGCAGGGTCTCACTCAAGTCTGAGGAGGCGGGTGTCTACCTGGAACCTCCCCCCGCAGGTCGCACTTACTGGCCCCTTGCTGACTGTGTCCGTGGGGAAGCCGAAGCCTGAATCTCTCCCTGCCCCCCACTCCATGAGGGGTTCGCTCCAGGCCCATCGGGGAGGTGCTGGGGCTTATGCTGACGCTGCCCATGCAGGGCCTGTTTGGTGGGCAGCTAGAGGATTGCTGTCTCCAGGCCTGTCCGTCCGGCCCCTGTTCCCAGCACTCAGCTGGCCTTAAAGAACAAGGAGGCTCGGCTGCAGCAGGCGCCTTCGGTTCCCATGCGGGTTTGATACCTCGTTCCTTTGCTGCTTGGCGGACAAACCACTGAGGGGTTCTCGTCCCTCCCCTCCCCGCTAGGTCCTCGAGGCGAGGCAGAAGGATGCGCCGTATCTCCTCCCCGAGGACGTGTTTGTAGAGGCACCCCGGTAAGAACCTCTGCTCTAGAAAGCGCGTGTCCCCCTGGGTTGGATCGGAGAGCGGCAGCTGAAATCCTGCTGCCCCTGTCGGAACCGTCGCCGGCAGCCGGGCCACAGCAAACGGGGGCCCTTTGTCATTCTCCCTGATGGAGCTGCGGGGAAATGTCCCAGTACAGATATTCCCGTTCCCTTGGCGCCTTCGCTGAGACAAGAGCACGTGCATCGGCGCTCTCGCCGGGGTGGCATTGCCTCCATGCAGAAACGCCAGGGCCCCGTGTCGCTCGGCGGTCAGAGGAGGATCAAGCTGTTTTCTGTGCCCGCCCAGCTGACTTGGAGGGAGGTGGAGCTGTCCCAGTGTTCACCTGGAAACCCTAACGCTCTGTGCATGCCACGGGCTGGTAACCACGCCTGCAACGGGCCAGAATCGTCACCGGCTTTCCTCTCTGTTCGCCCGCACAGGCTGACCAAGGGCCTAGATCACTTAGTGCCCGAGGTCTTCTTCCGGCAGAGCAAGATCAGCGAGGTGCTGGGAGGCAGCGGCTACAATTCAGACCGGCTCAGCACGCCCTACATCCCGCAGCTGACAGGTAGGGGGCGGAGCTTCCCTGCACACTGTGGCCTTTCCCAGGGCAGTGCCCGGCTGTCTCAGATGTTACCTTGCCCACTCATTGTGTGGTGTGGGGACAACTGGGGTGAGAACTCGGGAGACCTTAGCATCCATTCCCGTGCTCCGTCATTGTCTCTCCAGAGAGAAGGTGGCCTAGTAGCTAGAGCATGGACATGGGTTCTGGGAGACCTGGGTTCAAATCCTTGCTGTGCCATAGACTCCCTGTGTGACCTTAGTCAACCCACTTAGTCTTTCTGTGCCTCAGTTTCTCACCTGTGCAATGGGGATAACAGCCCTGGCCTGCCTCACAGCTCTGGTACTGCAGCAATAGGCACCAAATCCCTACAGGGGGAAGAATGCAGGGCTTGTTGTGTCTAACCCACCCAAGGCAGCTGCCTCTCCAGCCTCCCTTTGAAAATCTCCAGTGATGTCCACACGCTTCCCTCTTGTGACCCGGACAGCCCCTCCCCAGGTCCCTCCGGGTGTCTCCCCGGACGGGCGAGGCGCTCTGCCTTCCTCACGGGTTGGCTCCCTCTGTTTTCCAGACGAGGATCGTCTGTCCAAGAGGAAGAGCATCGGGGAGACCATTTCTCTTCAGGTCGAGGTGGAATCGAGGAACAGTCCCGAGAAAGAGGAGGTACCGTGTGCTGCCTTCTCCGGCCAGCCTGACAACTGCCCTTCACATTGTGCTGTCTCTCCAGCAGGAGGGGCGGTTTTTATTGGTTTGTTTCTGCGCGTGCCCAGTGTCCTGAGCCGGCCTGATGGGCAGGGGGTGTTTGCTTGGGACAGCCATTGTCCTGTAGAACCTAGGGGGACGGCAAAGCCTTCTTAGATCACGTAGTGTGAACCCAAGCAGAGGCGATTTCCCACCTGGGAAGCTTTTCCTGCCGACGTTTCCCTTGGCCTGTTATTTCTAGCTCTCTCCAGAACATCTGGTCCCCGACACCTGCCCCTGGGTGCTTACACCTTGTACAGTTTTGTGGGCTGCTCCCATCTCCTCCACCGTGGGTGCCGTGCAGACAGCCTGTCTGCGGGGGGCTCTTTCATCTCCCCCCATCGTTCACCGCAGGTTCCCCCCTCTCTCTGAATTCTTCCCACTGGGTCGAGATCTTGGAGAGGACACGCTCCCATCTGCCCCTCCCAGCCCTCGTCCTCAGGTGCCGGACATCTGAGCAGAGGAGAAAGCAAGGGGGTGCACCCCGGAGTGCCGCTCCGGCAAAGAGGAACCGGCCGGCTGCTGCACTCCGCTGCAGGAGGAGGCGCGACGTGCTTCCAGGGGTTTTCCTCCCGGCTGCTGGGGTTTTCCTCCCGGCTGCTGTGGCTGCACCCCCCACCAGTCCAGCATTGCCCCTGGTATGAGCCCCCTCCCCAGGGCAAAGGGGGGCTGAAACCCCCTCTCCGAAATCCCAACCAGGATACTGCTTGCTTTTCCCCTTCCCGTCACTCTCATGGACGGTGACTTGACTCCATATTGCCCTGATAGTTAGAGAGACTCAGACCTCCCTGGCGGTCCCAGGATCTTCAGGGACTCTCAGATTTGGCCATAATACAAATCCTCGTTGAGTCTCGCTCGTTAGTGGTTTCGGCTCCACCGAACACGCAGGATCCGGGCGCAGGACACCGACAAAAGACAAGCCAGAGCCTTCCCTGGGGGCTAAACATTTCCACCTCCTGAGCTTCCCCCTCGTCCCAGCAGCTCCTGTTCTAACGCTGCCTACTTAAGTGCTGTGTCATGCTTTGTTCGGGTGCACGGCCGAGCGCGCTGGCTGTGTCTGGGCGCCGCAGGCCACGAGCCACCGAGGAGTAATTCCCTCCTGGTGTGGTCAGCAGGGTGAGGTGAGCCAGCCCCGTGCCCGCCAGCGTCCTACGCACGAGTTATCGCGGCCTGCCTTCCCTCCGCCGGGGCCAGGTAATTAAGGCTTGTGTGCCATCCTTCTGGGGAAGGAGCTACCCTGGGGCTGTGCTCTCCAGCATTTACCTGCCCACAGTGGGCTGCGTTTGGTGGCTTCACTCTCTGAAAGCCACTGCTTTGTGCAGCTGCTTGTTTCTCCTTTGGGCGTCCAAGCTGTCCGGGCTAGGTGACCTCCCATTCCGAGGGTACATCCCAAGTCCCTGCCCTGGGTCGAACGATTCGGGGAGCATTTGTCATGAATCCGGTTCCATCATTTCTTGCCTGCCCAAGGCTCAGGGGTGCTGCCCCCTTTTCCCCCCTGTGAATCCGCCCCTTAGCCAGGCTGGAAGGCAAGGGCGGAGTTTCAGGAGGGCAGGGGGAGCCGGGACGCAGCTTGCTTTTCATCCCGTTCCCTGGGCGCTAAGGGAGCGAGGGGAAAGTGCTTGCATGCCGTGCATGCCTTTCACACCCAGCTGGCGAAGGGAGGGGGCCGAGGAGGAAATCACAGAATGCAGAATGCTCCCTGATGGCCCGGGGAGCGGGGTGAAAAGCAAGCCGCGTCCCGAGCCGCATGGCTGCTGCCCCCCCCGCCCTCCCGGAGCTCCGCCCTTGTGGAAGACGGAGCTGGGCTGTGGTACGAGCTGCCTAAAGGGAGCCCTGAATCCTCTATCTGCCCTGGGCAGTATGCCCCGGAGACAGGGCCACGGTCCAGGGGCTGCTCTCTGGCCGCCTTCTCAAGGCAGGTGGAGGGTCTAGGGCTCCCCGTAGTGGCCCAGGCTCCCTGGATAGCTCTTACTACTGCCCGGCTCTGGCTACTGGGGGCTCAGAAGGGAGCGGGGCTCCTTCGGAAAGGAGGTGGCCCTAGTCAGCACCTTCATAGATTCATAGAGCTTCAGGCCAGAAGGAACCATCGGCCGACCTCCAGTACCACACGGGCTACTCAGCTTCTCCCAGCTACCCCTGTCTAGAGCCCCAAAAGTTATCGCCTCCTAGTGGGTGAGCCCCACTACTGCAGATCTGCAAAGCTGGCTGGCCTCTAGAACCACATGGTCGGCTGTTCTCCCCTTTCGTCTGCTCTCAAGGGCATGCTGCCTGGAGGTGTAATTCTTGTGTTCTTCCCCCACCCCTAGAGAGCCCCGGCTGAAGAGATCACGTACGAGACCCTGAAGAAAGCAATTGGTAAGTAACTGAGTGATCTTCCACAGAACTGAAAGCCAGACAGGACCATGAGACGCTCTGCGTCCCCCAGATGCTGCTGTGTTAAGCCCAAAGACTTGAGCTAGCGCCCAGGGGAAAGACCGAGCTGTGTTAGTCACACTGTGTTCAGAGGCGTAAAACTTTCTCTCTTTCTGGAGTGCTGCTCCGTGAGCATGTCTGGAAACGTCACATTGTGCTCGGTGACTGGCATCCCCTCTCCACAGTGCCAGTGCGGCACGGGCAGTGCAGACTCCACCCCATCCCCACACCCCTGCCTGGCCAGTGTGTCTTTAGAGACCCCCATTCGGGCTGGAGAGATGGCCGGCTAATGGTCTGAGTGCAGGACCTCCTCAGGTCAAGCCTGATGCTGCCACTGACTCCCTTTCTGCCCTTGGGCATGCTGCTTAAACCCAAGAGTTCTAACGTGTCCTTTGATGTCTGGGTGCATGGGTGTCTGGGTGCCAGAATGAGAGGCGGGGGCGGTGATTTTCCAGGGGTGCTGAGCACCGGCGAACCTGCACCCAGTAGCCGTGCAGCACAGAGCCCTGCTTGCTCTCACGCAGGGCCGATGAGGGGCGGTGGGGAGGCGCTGCTCTCCAGGTACTCGCTGCAGGGCTCGCAGCAGAGCAGGTGTTCCCCTGAGAGCTGGGCTGGCTTGTGCGTGGCCGTAACCCCCAGAACAGAGCAACTGGGACTCGGGGTCTGTATGCCTGGCATGGCCAGAGCCCTTTCCCCATTGCTTCCTCCCTCCTGTGCGCTTTAGTAGACAGCGTCGCTGTGGAGGAGCAGGAGCGGGAGAGGAGGCGGCAGGTGGTGGAGAAGTTCCAGAAAGCTCCCTTCGAAGAGATCGCGGCTCACTGCGGCGCCCGGGTGAGGCTCTGCTTTCGGCACTCTGCCTGCTTGCTCTGCTTTGCCAGGGAGATCACTCAGGCTGGGAGGATGTGCCGGGCCCATCCCGCGGGGTCAAAAAACCAGAGTAGCACAGGCAAAGTGAGGCTCATCACCTGGGTAGTGGCTGATTTGCTTGCAGATAACACCCTACTACTGCTACCACCTATGTTGTAGTGCGTTCTGAGTTCAAAACCTGCTGGTGATGCACGGGAGGGTTTGCTGTGAAAGCACAAGAAGGCGTCCGCTCCCTGAAGCTGTGAGACCTCTGGAATGAGGTAGCCTATGGGAGGAGTGACTGAGTTGGACCTCGCTGCAGTCAGTTCCCCAAAGTCCCTTGTGCCCGAGGGGTAGGGGGTCTCGTTTGTCACGACTGAAATGCAGCCAGCTCAGGGGTGGAGCGGAGCCGCTCTCTAGTAGCATACAGCACCACTGCGCTGCCCTTGGGGACAGGAAGTGGAGAACGCGGCATCCAATTAAAACCACAGGGTGGAGGCCGAACAGAGTTATTCAGCCCGGCACCCTGCTCCTGTGAAACATGTCAGGGAAACATGAGGGACCCTGAGGAGCCTGAAGTCTGGATTCCAGCCTCATACGAAAGCTGGGATCTCAAAGCACCACTCGGGACCATGCTGCAGAGTTGGTCAGTCCAGATGCAGGAGGGAAGCGTGTTACATGCATCACCAGCACAACTTCCTGCTTTACGTCAGTGTCCCATGGAGGAAGTTCATAGACTCCAAGGGCTGGAAGGGACCTCAGGAGTCATCGAGTCCAACCCCCTGTTCAAAGCAGGATCAACCCCAACGAAATCATCCCAGCCAGGGCTTTGTCAAGCCGGGACTTAAAAACCTCTAGGGAAGGAGATTCCACCACCTCCCTAGAGAACCCATTCCAGTGCTTCCCCACCCACCTAGGGAAATAGTTTTTCCTAATATCCAACCTAGACCTCCCCCACTGCAACTTGAGCCCATTGCTCCTTGTTCTGCATCCATCACTACTGAGAACAGCCTCTCTCCATCCTCTTTGGACCCCCCCTTCAGGAAGTTGAAGGCTGCTATCAAACCCCCCCTCACTCCTCTCTTCTGTAGACTAAACAAGCCCAGATCCCTCAGCCTCTCCTAATAAGTCATGCGCTCCAGCCCCCTCCTCATTTGTGTTGCCCTCTGCTGGACTCTCTCCAATGTGTCCACATCCTTTCTGTAGTGGGGGGGGGGGCCCAGAATTGGAGGCAATACCCCAGATGTGGCCTCACCAGTGCCGAGTAAAGGGGAATAATCACTTCCCTAGATCTGCTGGCAGTGCTCCTACCAATGCATCCCAATATGCCATTAGCCTTCTTGGCTACAAGGGCATGCTATTTCATTATTTTATGTCCCCCCATGGTTGTCTACCCTGATGTGCTGCAGCACCATACTCCCTGCTGTGCCCCGCACAAGGACTTGGAGGCTGCAGGCCCAGTGTGACCTGTTGGGGCTCGGTGATCGTAACAGCTCTGCCCTGATGTGAAGCCTCGGAATAATGGAATTGTTGTTTGTTTCAGGCCTCGCTGCTGCAAAGCAAGCTGAACCAGATCTTTGAGATCACTATCCGGTGAGCATCAGACCCTTTGGGGAGAGGACAGTCTTGGGGGGGCTTTTAGGACCCCGCTTTGCAGTTGGCAAGAGGGGGAGAGGCTCGTGAACTGCGGTGATGGGTGGCCTGTGCCCTGAGGCACAAGCAGGAGGATGGGAGAGAGGTGCAGGGGACAGCCACAATCTGGCCCGTTCCTACAACTGGAGACGTACCTAGTTCTATCAGGAAACAGGCCCCCTAGAGCTTCAGGCAAGCCGAGAACAGAGGACCGCAGCTGTGCTGCGGGAAGGTGCAGAGATCCTACCGGTGAGTGCAGGAAGGCTAGGCACGAAGGAGGGGAGCAAGGTCAGTCTCTCCATTACATCAGGCCTCACCCTTGTTCCCTTTACCTCCTATCTACTTCGTATGGTTCTCCCCCGTGTTCACAGCTCCCCAGAGCTGTCCGTGTCTCAGCTGGGCGTTGGTCCCCAGCACGTCCCTTTGTCATCTGCAGTTTGGCCCTAATGTGCAGTCACTAGGTTGGATTTGTGCCTTCACATCACCAGCTGAGCAGAGATAAACCTTCATCTTCGGTTAACACGGTGACAGGGTCCTGAGTCGGGAAGGGGAAATCTTCACAGTGAGCAAGAGTTGGGCAGAACCTCTCTGGGCTGGGCCCTGAGAGAGAGTGTGGAAGGCCACCTTTAACTCTCCTTCTCTGTCTCCGACATTGCAGGCCGCCCCCGAGCCCGTCGGGTACCATCACGGCTGCGTATGGCCAGCCCCAGAGCCACTCCATCCCGGTGTATGAGATGAAGTTCCCAGATCTCTGCGTATACTGAGACCCGACGCGCATGCCGAGAGAGGGCCAAGTCCTGATGCGGGTGGAGCCAGAGGAGGAAGATGCCTTCTGCATGTATACAAATGAGTCTCTTGAAGAAATCTGTAACCCTTGAGGAAAGCGCCTTTTGGAGGACTTGCCGGCTTCCCTCTTCCAGAGCCATGTGGCACCTCGTGATCCTCCAGCCATTTACAGAATTCACATGTGTGTTTCTTTGCCACCTTATTTCTTCTCAGCTCGTTTCACCTCTAGGGTTGATGATGCGTGCGACTGAAGAATCTTCATGAAAGAGTTTCAGAGCCAGGACTCCAGCAGGGAGAAGTTGGGGAAGGTGCAGGCATAGCTAGGGCTTGGTTTAGCTTCCCTTTTTATTACCAGGTTAGAGGGTTTAGGGGTTTTTTTGGGGGGGGGAGGGAAGGGGGATGTTAGATCTTACCCCAGAGAATTCATTTGGCCTCTTGATGGCCCACTACATCAAGCAAGTCTGTGGCAGCGACAGATATCACTCATGGTTCTCTGCCTGTGGCCAGTTGAAGAGAGTTCTTTCGTAACAGGGTACTGCTCTCCAAACTTGAGGTCTTCTAGATTTCAAAGCCAGAAGGGACCAATAGGGCCATTTTGCCTGACTTCATGACATAGGCCTCTAGGACTAAGGGGACTTGGACATAGGACCCAAACTTGTTGCAGAAGGTGAATTCTGGTTGCCTTAAGACAGTGCGAAGCCGCCCCAGAGGCAGGCCGACCCAGATGTTAGTCATCACAGCTGGATACCTATTAAAGCATTATTGTTGTGCTGCAGGGTCCTATACATCAGATGTGTAGTTGCCTTTCTGGTAACGTTGCTTTAAGACGACAAAGGGGCTGATTGACAGGTACAATCAAGGCAAACACCCCTAACGTTTCCTACACGTATTGAAAGGGAAATGGCTCCTCTAATGAACCTGCTTGTGTGTGTCTCCCCTCCAGCACCCTGTATGGGGTGAGTGCCTAGAATGAGACCAGCTCAGCCCTATACAGCTAACTGCTACAGGAGATTCTCTATTAGAGCCAAGCGGCAGGGGATCATGGGCTTTTGAGGGAGGAGGATCCGTTCTGTGATCCCATAAGGTCTACATTGTAAAGCACCCGGGGAAATCCTTTAAGTCCTAGGTCAGGGCTGGGCAAAACACAGCCTGGGGGGGCTGGATCCGGGCTGCTGAAGATCCTGCTGGGACCCTTAGGCAAGCAGCAGCCATGGTTTAAAGCTCAGTCTCCCCCCCCCCCAACCCAATTCTCAGCTCCTATTGGCTGGAAACAACCAGCCAATATGAGCTCAGAGATTGGCCTGGGGGCAACGCAAGCCTCTTCCTCCTCCTCCTCCTGGAGCTGAGAGCCACGTGGGGGAACAGCCTGCAGTTTCAAGTGGTCTGGGGCTGCAGCAGGCAGGGAGTCCAGCCTGCCTTGGGGGTGCTGCAGGCCTGCTGGCCAGGAGACACTTAGGGATGCGCCTCCCAGCCACAGCTTGTCTCTGGCACCCCTGCCCCTCCCACACCCCAACTCCCTCCCCCAGCTCACCATCCAAACCCTCTGCACCCCCTTGCCCCAGGTCACATCTCCCTCCCAGACCCTGTACCTCCTCCTGCACCCCTTCCCCAGGCCAGAATCCTCTCCTGCACCCAAACATCCTCCCAGACCCTGCACCCCATTCGTCTGCCCCCGGTCACTACCCAAACCCTCTGCAGCCTGTACCCCCTTTGTCCCCTCTCCCACATCACAATTCGCTCCCAGACTTTGCACCTCCTCCTAGAACCCCTCCCCCAGGCCAGAATCCTCTCCTGCACCCACACCCCCTCCCTGACCCTACACCCCAATCCCCTGACCCAGATGACAACCACCTCCTTCACCCAAACTCCCTCAGACCTCACGCCGTCTCCTGCACTCCACTCCCTTACCCCGTACCCCCTTCTACACCCAACTTCTATCCTAGACCTCACATCACCTCTACAGAAAAGTGCAGCCCTTCACCACCTTCCAAAATCTTGGTGTGCCCCCCCCCTCCAAAAAAAGAAATTATTGCCCAGCCCAGTTCTAGATGGTTAGTGAATAGCCATGCTTCAGCAGGGATTGTTTGGTGCAAAGCTGCCTGGGAAAGACCCATGCCCCAATCCTACAGGCCATGGATTAGCACTGTATTGAAGTGCAGGCAGGATTAAGGGTGGGACAGCCCCGGAGAACCCAGCACCAAGCAGCAGGAGAGGGCTGAAATGGGGCCGGAGCGGAAGGCACATTAACCCCTTGAACACTGGCATTTCCCAGATGCCGGCCCAAAGAGGGAACCTGGAAGACTGTGCGTGTTGCATCAGACAGTTCAGCAGTGCCCGGAGTGAAGAGGATGATTCCCTCCACACCCCTTTTCCTAAGACCCCAGTGTTCCTCTGGGGCAGAAATTTCCCACCTCTGGGCTCCGTCTCATTGATCATCAGAATCCTCTGGCACAGGGACCTGAGAGCAAATGAAAAAATTCTGTTTTGCACAATTCCAAGCCATTCAAAAAGTCCTGGGCTGCCGCAAAACCAGCTGACGTGTGAAAGTGGGGACATTGTGCAGGCAGACGAAGGGCCTGTCATTGGCCAGCTTAAAAACAGGCGTTCCAGTGAGTTTCCCATCCTACCCCCGCCCCTGGATTTTCCCTCCAGTTGTTGTGGCTTTATAATCACATCATCTTCTTCCCCAAAATGGTTCCCTGCTCCCTGGGGCTGCAGGAGAGCCCCACTAAACAAGCTCTATCGGTTATGCCAGGGAAGGTGACATTCATAGGCTACGTCTACACTGGCATGATTTTCCAAAAATGTTTTTAATGGAAAAGTTTTCTGTTAAAAGCATTTTCGGAAAAGCACGTCTAGATTGGCAGGATGCTTTTCCGCAAAAGCACTTTTTGCGGAAAAGCGTCCGTGGCCAATCTAGATGCGCTTTTCCGCAAAAAAGCCCCGATCGCCATTTTCACGATCGGGGCTTTTTTGAGGAAAACAGTACTGTGCTGTTTACACTGGCCCTCTTGCGCAAATGATTTGCGCAAGAGGGCTTTTGCCCAAACGGCAGCAGCACCGTATTTCTGCAAGAACGCTGATGATTTTACATGAGATCGTCAGTGTTCTTGCGGAAATTCAAGCGGCCAGTGTAGACAGCTGGCAAGTTTTTCCGCAAATTCAGATGATTTTGCGAAAAACTTGCCAGTCTGCTCACAGTGGTCTCTTCTCCACCTGGACTCTATGGCTGTGTCTAATCTTAGCTTCTGTAGACTCCCTTTCCCACCATACTTCCTAGAGCAGGGCTTTTCGAAGAGCATCCAGTCTTGATTTAAAAATTGTCAATGCCAGAGAATTTACCATGATCCTTGCTAAGTTGTGCCAATGTTTATTACCCTCACTGGTAAAAACGACACTTTATTTGCCTTCTCAATTGGTCTAGCTTCCGCGATCAGCCCTTTGACCATATGAGACTGTTCTCTGCTACATTGAAGAGCCAATTTCTCAATATTTGCTCTTTGCGCTGATACTTACGTGCTGGGAGCAAATCACCCCCTTATTTCCCCCCTGTGAAACTAACTAGATTGAGTTCCTTGAGCCTCTCGCCATACAGCAGGTTTTCTGCAACCACACTTAAGTTGCGGCCCTCGGCATGTGCTGTGAGTATCATTGTGGTCCCGGGGGCTTCCAGAGTTGGGTAGCCGTGGTCTAGGAGAAAGAAAACAATGGGAGGTGAAATTGCATTGTTGAAATGGGTTACATTGAGTGGGAACAGCTGGAATGGGAGGAGCCTGTTCCATTAGAACAGGCCGAAGGGTGTTTTTCTGAAAATGGGGATTTGTCAAAAAACATTTTTCAAGAAAAAGTTGTTTTAAATTCAAAACAAAAAACGGGAAAAAAGTATTTCCTTTCAAGGCTGCAAGAAAGCACCCGGTTTGTGGCTACAAAACCAAGAGGGAAGAGCTAAACGTTAAAAAAGTGAGAGGAAACATCATCTTCAAAATTTGTCATTTCTTTCTACTTTTCACGTTTGGGCGTTCCGTCTCTCTAGGTGAGTGAAGATAACACAGGATAACATTTGGACTTCTCTCCCCCCCCGCCAAAAAAGGGGTGTGTATGGGTTTTTTTCTCTACCAAAATGAACCAAAACACTTCAAATTGAAATGTTGCAACCCCCCCCTCCCAAATTTGTGCAAACACGTGAACAAGAATCAGGTATTTTAATGTTTCCATTTCAAAAAGAAAAGCCTAGCTAGCCCTGTATGTTAAATAGTGGCTAGCTTCGGCCTTTATGATAGAACTCCTGTCCCACCACAGTATCATGCAATTCCATTCCCATTACTCAGAGAGTCCACCCTTGTGTTCAGAGGGAAGGGGGACCATGTTTGGGACAGCATTTCTGATACCTGTTTCTCCCCCCTGCTCAGCCCTTGACCTATAGGCTGCCTGGAGGTCATGAGCCTTTTAGAAGCAGAGATGCGTGCCTGCTTTCTTCTAGCACAGTGTTTCTCAACTTTTTTTTTTTTTTTATAAAGTACCCCTTTAAAAAAAAAAAAAGTATTCCCAGTACCTATAGTTTTCAGATACACAAAACAATTTTTCTACTGTTGCAACACATTTGTTTAAATGACTTAATTGTAGCTGGGCGGGTGATGAAATGTTTAGGTGTAAAAAGTACAAAAATAATAAAACGCTGTGTAAAACTTAAAACAAACAATCATAGAATCATAGGACTGGACGGGACCTCAAGAGGTCATCGAGTCCAGCCCCCCGCCCTCAAGGCAGGACCAAGCTCCGTCTACACCATCCCTGACAGATGTCTATCTAACCTGTTCTTAAATATCTCCAGAGAGGGAGATTCCACCACCTCCCTTGGCAATTTATTCCAATATTTGACCACCCTGACAGTTAGGAATTTTTTCCTAATGTCCAATCTAAACCTCCCCTGCTGCACTTTAAGCCCATTACTCCTTGTCCTATCCTCAGAAACCAAGAGGAACAAATTTTCTCCTTCCTCCTTGTGACACCCTTTTAGATATTTGAAAACCGCTATCATGTCCCCCCTTAATCTTCTTTTTTCCAAACTAAACAAGCCCAGTTCATGAAGCCTGGCTTCATAGGTCATGTTCTCTAGACCTTTAATCATTCTTGTCGCTCTTCTCTGTACCCTTTCCAATTTCTCCACATCTTTCTTGAAATGTGGCGCCCAGAACTGGACACAGTACTCCAGCTGAGGCCTAACTAGTGCAGAGTAGAGCGGCAGAATGACTTCACGAGTTTTGCTTACAACACACCTGTTGATACAACCTAGAATCATATTTGCTTTTTTTGCAACAGCAAAAATTCAGTTTTCTCCAAATTTCAGACTTCTCTCGAGTACCCCCAGACTTCTCTCGAGTACCCCAAGGGTACTTATACCACTGGTTGAGAAACACTGGTGTAGCATGCTGAGACTCCAATGAAGGGAAAGGGCATGAGGAAGATATGGAGCGGTGTGTTAACTGAGGCCGCAAAACCAGAGGTGCTGGGGGCTTGGAAATGCTGAGGGGGAGAGAAAGGGGTCAGCTGTTGTGGGGCCCAGCAATTTAAAGGGGCCCAGGGCTCCTGGCCTACTGTGGTAGCGATGGCGGCTGGATCCCTGGGCCCCTTTAAATTGCTGCCGGAGCGCCGCACCGCATGCTTGGTGTGGCTCTGTGGGCTGCGGTGGGGGAAGGGAGAGCACCATGATCCAGGTGGTCCTGAGGGCTGGCTTCTCCCAGCTCTGCCCCTGCCACCTCAGGCCCTGCCCCTTCCGGGGATGTAG